TAAACTGAGCTCAAGCGATCTGCCTGCCTTAGCCTCCCAAAGTGCTGGGATTACAGGCATGAGCCACTGTATGCAGCAGAAGTACACTTTTATCAGGTGTATACATTATACAATTAGTGGTGTGTTATTTTAGATAAGAATCCATATCCTTATGGTAACTACTAAAAACAAGTAAAAGGTACAACTATAAAGCCAATAGAAGAGATGAAATGGAATACTAAACAATAACTCAAGGCAGAAAAAGAGAAACAAGGGACAGTGAGAAAATAAGCATGATCATATACTCCAACTCAACCACAGCAATAATTATATTTACATACAAGTGGCTTAAGCACCACACACTTAAAAGCAAAGATCATCAGATTGAATAAAAAGCTTCAACAAGGTTTACAATAGCTTTATCCAAATATAAAGATACCAATAGGTTATAAGTAAAACTGGAAAAAGACATACCATGAAAACACTAATAAAAGACTTCAAGTATTAGAGATAGATATTTTATCACGAAATGTTTAGTTAATGGAAAACATATCAATTCTAAATGTATATGCACCTAATTATTGAGTTTTAAGATACATAAAAGACAATGGAGAACTAAGGTGAGACAAACTCACAATCATAGTTGGAGATTGAGTAGACAAAAATCAAAGGATGTAAGAGATATTCAATGGCATTACCAACCGCTGATCTGACATATATAGAAAAACTACACTCCTAAACTGCAGAATACTCATTCTTTTTACATGCAACCAGAATATTCACCAAAACGGGCCAACAATATGCTTGCCCATAAAACAAGTCTCAAAACATTTAAAAAGATTAAAATATTACTGAATATGATCTCTGACCACAGTGGAATTTTAGAAATAGTATCACATAGAAATAAATAAGAATTAACTATTACATCTTTTGGTAGATGGAAAAATTATATTTGGAAATTAGTCCATATGTCAGTGAAAAAAAATCGCAGGGAAATTGGGACATTTTTTGAGCCAAAAGATCACACAAGTAACCAAATTTATCACATGCAGCTAAAGAGGTGTGTTGAGTGAAATTCTAAATACTCAGTTTTGAAGATGCGTTTAAAATCAATGATCTACAATGGACTAGGGAAAAGGGGCAAATTAACCCTAAGTAAGCCGAAGGAAGGAAAGTGAAAATCAATGAAATAGAAAAAAGAGAGGCCGGGCGCAGTGTTTCATGCCTGTAACCCCAGCTACTCAGGAGCCTGAGGCAGGAGAATCGCTTGAACCTGGGAGGCGGAGGTTGCAGTGAGCCAGATCGGGTCACTGCACTCCACCCTGGGTGACAGTGAGACACAGTCTCAATAAATAAATAAATAAATAAATAAATAAATAATAGAAAAAGGACATACACTAGAGAAAAATTAATGAAATTAAATGTTCTTCAAAAAATTTTAATATAATTTATAAAGCTCTGGCTAGATAAGAACTAAAGAACACAAGATTCAGATAACAAGAGACTCCACGACATATTACAGACATTTTAACACAAATACTATAAACTTTTATACCAATACATTTCACAACTTACTGGAAAATGTGAAGTCCTTAAAAGACACAAACTACTGAAACTACTAGAGGCAGAACATCTATAGCTCCTTGAGAGAAAAAATACAGACATTTAACATTGCATTGATAGCCACTGTAACAGGTAAGAAAAAGAAAAGACAAAAACAATTGGAAGGAAGAAGTAAAACTGCCTGTATTCACCAATGACATGATTGTGTACTTAAAATCCTAAGGAATCTGCGGGGGAAAAAAAAAAAATGCCAGAATAGGTGAGTTTAGCAAGTTCACAGGATCCAAATTCTATACACCAAAAGTAATTGTATTTTCATATAGAAGAAATAAATCATTGCAAGATGAACTTTTTGAAAGTATCATTTACAGTACCAAAAAAATGCTTAGGGACAGATTTAAAACAGATGTCCAAGCCTCTACAGTGAAACTACAAAACAATGTGGAAAGAGTAGATCGATCCAAGTAAATGAATAGACATATTACATGCATGGAATGGAAGATTGAATATTTTTAAGATGTCAGTTCTTCACAAATTGATTTTTAGATTCAGCACAATAATTCTAGCCTATTTTTGGGATAGAAATTGACATGCTCAGAGGACTGATGTATCAGACTTCTAGACTTCCTACATAGTCCTGACTTACCATTTTTCGACTAGATGGTAGTATAAGAGTGATACACATTCAATAGAAAGCCTACTTTGAATTTTGTTCTTTTCCCTGGCTAGTAATGTGCCCATACAATACTTAATCTTGCAATGCTGGACAGCAGCAGCAAGCCGCAGCTCCCAGTCAGCCACAGCATCAGGAGGGTAAAAACTGATTCTTGCTCTTTGTGAAGAACACTATTCCTGCTAAACCGTCAGTGTCAGTGCCCTTAGTGCCTTCAACCAATGCTTCTACTCAAGCCTAATCAGTAGGGAAATTGATAATCCTGTTGCTGTAGTATTCCCCATCATGCCGCAATTTTAGTGCAATGCTTCAAACATTCTTCAGGCCCAGTGTGCTTTCAGCTGTGTATGTTAATAAGTAGCTATACAATCATTCTGTTTTTTGCTTTCAGTTTAGTATTTAATAAATTAGATGAGCTATTCAGTACTTTACAATGAAACAGTCTTTGTGTTAGATGATTTTGCCCAACTATAGGCTAATGTGTCATGAGTACATTTAAGGTAGGCTAGGTTAAGCTATGATGTAGGTTAAGGTGGATTAAATGCACTTTTGACTTAAAATACAGTATTTTCAACTTACGTTGCATTTATCCCAACTTAAGGAGCATCTATGCAGCTACAGTAATTCAAGGCAGTGTGGTATGAGTGCAAGGATGGACAAACATTTCAATGTAACAGAACAGAAAGTCCAGAAACAGATCCACCATTATGGTTAACTGATTTTTTACTAAATGGCAATGTAATTTAATGAGGAAGGGATAATTCTTTCAATAAACAGTGTTACAATGACTGGATACTTGTATGGGGGAAAAAAGAACCCTGATCCGTAATTCACAACATACATATCAATTCAAGATGGATCACAAATATAAAAAATAAAGTTTATATAATAAAGCAGAATACCTGAAATCTTGGGGTTAAATTGGAGAGAAAAAATATAAAACATAAAAGAAAAAAATAAATTTGACCTTCAAAATTTAAAACTTCTATTCATCAAAAGACATAAAGAAAATAGTCAAGCCACAGACTAGGTGTAATATTCTCAATACATACATCTGACAAGAGACTTGCATCTAGAATGTATAAAGAATTTCTATGACCCAATTATAGTTATCAGGGATATACAAATTAAAACCAAAATGAAACATCACTACACACCCATTGGAATGGTTAAAAGGAAAAATACTGACACCACCAATATTTGTAAAGATAGGAGGTACCAGAATTCTCATTCATTATATTCATAAATTGACAAATATAAAAATTGCTATAGGTAGGGCAGTCTTAGAAAGGGATTGTGGGCATGACAGAGACCAATATTAATCTGTCCATTATATTCCTTAACTGTAAAATGGAGACCATATGTTCCACCAGCTTCACTCGGTAATTATGATACATGGCTATTAACAGACTCAAATGACTCCATTTCATCAATTAATATGCCCTGTCAATTCTACTTCTAAGGTATCCCATGTTCTATCCAATGTCATACCACTATCATAATTTAAGTGTTCATAACTCTCTATAATATTTCAATAATCTAACTGATCTCAATGCATATAGTAGAAATTGCAGACTGACTCACCTAATTTCTGCTCCCTAGGAAGGCTGAGAAGCTTTAAAAAAAAAACTTCATTTCCCTAACTCCCTTGCAGCTGGAGTTCCACCTGCAAGTAGCCAGAACTTGGAAGTAAGTTTAATTTGGTTCTGGCAAGTAGATGCACTTCCACAAGATTTGGAAGGTGAGAGTGATGTAGAGGCCAACCTCTTGTCCCTTTTGTTGCTTCTGTTTACAAGGGAAGTCATGGAAATATGGCCTCCATTCCTCACTGTTCCATTTCTCATTCTCCAGACAACTAAGCAGTTGTAGTGATTCTTGATTGGAGCTTCCTTCTTGCTGGATCACAGGTACATGAATATATTCTCGAACACAAGAGTTGAAAATCACTTGTCAATAAAGTTTGAAAAAAGACATTCGTTGTTTCTTACCATCTCCCTTTAAGGTAGAAAAAGAAAACAATCTCACCATTTCTACTTTTTAAGTAGGAAAACTAGGACTCTAAATAAGCTCAAAACAGACACACACCCAGCTCAGTAAGACCACCAAAAATGGATACAGGTCTTTCCATTCTGGTGAAAACTAAACCCATGTTTGATGAAGTCTCCACATGGTATTCAGTTTCTAGTACTAGAACAACATGTAGGTGACATCTGCACCACTGAAGCCATTTTGTTTGGATCACTAGAGTTTAGGTAAGACTACAGCAAAATGGAAAAGAAATAATAATAAAAAATATATTGATATTCCTATAATTTTTAATCTACTAAGTAAAAAAGCAAGGTGTAGAACACTGTATATGTTATGCCATCATTTGTGTAGGAAATTATTTAAAAATAGGAATTTGAATAGGACTCAAAAATCCCAGGAAAGATTCCTAAGAAATGAGTATCATGAATTTTTTCTCCGGGGAACCAAGTAGCTAGGACAATGGAGGAAGGGTGACTTTAGTCTTTACCTTATGTACATTTAGAATTTTGAACTGTGACTAAATAACTATTTAATAAACAAAACACATTGAAAAATGAAAAAAAAAAAAAGATGCAATGAGAAAGCCTGAAAACAGAGTAACTGTTACACACAAAAGAATCAAAGTTTTGTGCATTTTATTTAATAAATTTAGGCCATAAAATATTGTAACTTAAATCTCTTCTATATACTATATATATTCATATAACCTTGTTGGCCTGAAGTAGATGTTTACTAGGAAGTTTTTCCATGGCTTCTTTTTAAAATCCTCAGTTATCTTCTCCTTTTTAAATAAGGATTGTATCTGCAAAGAAAGAAATGGGGTTAAATGATATTTAGATAAGGGATAGTATTTCTTTTAAAGGTAAAGGACTTTCAAACTGTAGTCACACTTTGGCAAATAGGATAGGAATGACAATTTTGTCCTTAGGATCAGATATTAATCACTGACATTTTTATTTTCATTTATCCCTTTGATGTTGCTTTGATGAAAATATGGTAAAAACCAAACAAAAAAATCAACAATAACAAAAATCCTGTAAAGCTTTAAAATAATTAATGAAAACAGTTTAAAAATGAAGGTATGTTTATACTTCTTTCTCTATGGCTTCAAAGATCCCCATTCCTCCCCTTAATGGAAGCATATCATCTGTATAAAAGAGCATAATCTACTTAAATGTAATTAGCACTTTACAACATTTTCTCCTACAGCAGTTAAACAAATATGGCTGAACAACTTATCTCATTCGACTAATGACAAATCAGTATTGTTTGTTAACCTTTTTTTTTTTTGAAACGGAATCTGGCTCTGGAGTGCAGTGTCATGGTCGCAGCTCACTGCAGCCTCCGCCTCCCGGGTTCAAGCGATTCTCCTGCCTCAGCCTCCTGAGTAGCTGGAATTACAGGTGCATGCCACCACGCCTGGCTAATTTTTGTACTTTTAGTAGAGACGGGGTTTCTCCATGTTGGCCAGGCTGGTCTTGAACTCCTGACCTCGTAATCTGCCCACCTCCGCCTCCCAAAGTGCTGGGATTACCCAGCCTGTTTGTCAACATTTTTACCAGCAATTTATACTCTCAAGTATGAAATTAGAGAATCAATCTAATTTGCTGCAAAACAGACTCAAAAAGTATTTCTTCGTTTTGTCTTTAAGTTGGGAAAATATTCCTCTCCCCTAGCTGATATCTACCTCTACAGTACTGTATTACTATTTCAGAGGCAATTATTATAATAGGTTTGTTAGGTCTGCAGGAATGCTGAAAATGTATTAAATCAGAATTAAATTATAATCACATAGTACAACTCTAAAACCTCCCATAAAAAACCTGCTGTGAAACTCTAATCCAGCCTTTTGTTTTTATGCATGTGCCAATTAAAACTAAACAAATAGTCTGGCATTTTACTTGTCTTAATTCAAAACTCAATCATAATTCTACTCAGAGCTGAAAAATCTCACAAATTTACACAACAGTTTCACACAATTCAGGAACCGTCTTTTTGCCTGAATGCCCCCATACAAATTTTAAGTATCTTACAATACGACTTAACCCCAAACCTCGATGCTATATTCAATTAACCCAATCGAAAGGGCTTAAGTAATAAAAATAAACACTTATGTTAGGTGAAGGGACTAGTTGTCTATGAGGACACAAGAAACAAATTCTTAATTTCTATGAACAGAACTAAATTTTATATACATCTCTCAAAGGTACATGAGAAAGCTGAATCAAACTTTACCTAAAAAGATCATCAGCAAGAGACTCTTCTTTTGCATGTTGATTTTGTACCTGTCAAAATTAACATAATATCAAACATTTGCTCAGTGGTGAATATATAGTTAATGAATTGCTATAGTGATAGGTCACTGTCATCTTAGAGATTTCCACATCCTGGAGGTCACCAAGTCTATGAGTTCTTGCCTCTGCAATATTTCATTTAACGGATCTTCTATATTTTCACTCCATGCTAGTATTATTACAAAAGAGCTCTAATTAAACAGCTTTCTCCCACCAATCTCCACTCAAAGACAACCAATGTATATTGCTAGCTTGCTGGGTTTTTAAACACTCTTTCCAGCAAAACCCTTTTACTAAATGAGATTTCAGTGCTTGGGGATCAGACCACTGATGAGACTAAGAGGGCAACATTTACCCCACCTTCAACTACAGCAGCTCCACAGTTAAAGGGGCTCCTGTGTTCTTGGTCCCAAATCAGGGCTTAGAGGCTGCTGCTAAATTACCTCTCCTCTAAAGGCCTTTTAAATACAAACTCAGTAAACTACTACAGCACCTTACAGAGTCAAAATCAAAAAATCCCTGTGCTGAGTGCATCTTCCTGAAGTCCAGCTATGTCCCTATTATATGCCATTTGAAACCCTTCAGTGACTTCTCCCACCTACCAAGGAAAACACAAACCCTTGCATGTGACCCGCTGAAATGTGCAAGGTTCTTCATAACCTGGTTCCATTTTACTTTCCTAATCACTTCTCAACCTCCTCTTCGTGGGCTCTGTATGCCGGTTAAAACTGAATCACACAAAAAAGAAAAAAGCAAAACCAAAACAAAACCCCAGAATCATCTCCTAATAAATATTCTGTGACCTTCTATCTGCTTTTGTTCATGTTTCTCCCTCTGCCAAGGAAGTTAATTCCTTTTTTTCCCTCTTCCCACATGTAATCATCTTCAAAGGTACATTCATTCAATACTTATTTAGTGCCTCTTTAGCAAAGGCTTCCCGATCCCCTTCTTTCAAAAACAATGCCTGCTATGAAGAAATCTCCCAAAACTTCAGCTACAGAATTCCCAAGATGCTTATCAATTTCTACCTTCTGTTTAATTATTTATGTTTGCACCCTATCCTCTCTAAAAGACCAGAAGTTCCTTAAATACAGATAGAGTAAGTCCTGACTTAATGTTTTCGATAGTTTCTTGGAAACTGCAACTGTAAGTGAGATGACAAACAGCAGGTCCTTGAATCATGTTGTTTTGTTGTACTAATGAGAAATAATACTGTTTATGTCATTTCGCTTAAAGTTGCAGTTTCCAAGAACCTATTGACAATGTTAAGGACTTACTGTGTTTATTTTTACTGTTACTAACTTACATTTGAACGCTTCCAGATACTATCTTAAACTCTCTCTCTCTCTCTCTCTATATATATATATAATATATAATCTCACTTCATTTTCATGTAACTTCATTACTACTATTATACTATTATCTCAATTTTAACCAATGAGGTAACAGAGACTTAGGTTAGGTAACCTGCAGAAGATAAGGGAACTCAGATGGAATAGCTGGGATTTGACCAGGTCTACCTTATTAAGAGCACTAGCTCTTAACCAGGCTGCCTCAGGGCTTCTGAATCTCTAGAGCAAGCCTATAAGAGTGACTTGCAGGGATTCGATCTTACAGACTGATTTTTCTATCATACAGTGAAACAAAATTACATCTTATCTTTTCGGATTTTCTAATAGGGATAGCAGAACATAAATGGGAAGACATAGTTTTAATAAAACAGTTGTCAAAATAACTACTGGTATCATTTTTCTAAATATTCTTAGAGGTTTCCTGGGGAATAATTTTAAAGCTGTAGCATAGTAAAGAAAAAACAGTGAGGAGAAAGCAGTTTTTTCACATATATTTTAGTAAAAACATATAAAATAGTATTAAGAAACAGAAATGCCTCATATTACTGGCATTTTTCAGAGGTCTGCAATAACTACTACTCATAGTCTTTCAAATTCAAATCAGGTTGGATACAGTTCAAATAATTTTTGTTTGATGTACACAATGAAAATATCCTGAATTCAAGGGAACTTCAGGAACTGACGCAGTGATTATGAAAACTAAGACTGGTGGGTCTGCAGCAGAGGCAGAGAAAGAAGGGATGAAAAAGAAAAATAGGAAGGGAATATAGAAAAAGAATAGCTGCAGCCAACAGGGAAATGAGATGGCAGTACAGAACATTTACATAAATAAACAGTAGCCACGCAGCAAAAGAAAGTCAAGTCTGTTATAGAGTAAGTCCTACCAATAGCATCTAAAATGACTCTAGCAAAAAGAGAAGTGATTTGGTGAAATCATCTAGAACACAGTCCATCTAATTCCTAATGAAATAAGCAAAAAATAGAAAACAGTCAGCAGATGTATGATGTATCATCATTCTCTCAACTTCTTCCCCATCTAAAATTAATCAAACAAAACTTGACTGTGTTAATTAATGAAGGAAAAGAGTTTAAACCACGTCATACACTTAAAAAGTGCAGTTGTGCAAAGAACCAAATGATTCTGATGCAGCTGATTCCTAATACTGTCCTAATCCATTAAAAGCGCTACAGAACTGGTCAAACCTGAGGGTTCTTACTAATGCCCCAAATTTGGGGAAAAGGTAGCGTCAACAGGGAAAACAATTGCTAGTAGGTTGCTGGGAAGGGACTAATGGTATAGAAGGTGAAGAAGTGGGGCTGACACTGACCAAACACATAGGCTCCAAGGATCTAACAAATTAGGTAAACAACCCAATAATGCTAGGTTATTCTCTTTTAGCTAGGGCACACTCCCTGGTACAGGACATTTAATTAAAATCCCAGAAGACAGCTAGCCCAAGCTGCACACAGCTCCAGCTGAGCCCTTCCTCTCCCAGATTCAATGTCTTCAGACAACAGAAACTAGATGGGACATGCCATGTGCCATTGACTGTTTCAGCGTGATGCCATGCTGACAGTGAGGCATGAGGGAATTCTGTTCTTTAATTTTTCTTTTACTTATTATTATTATTTTTGAGACGTGGTCTTGCTCTGTCACCCAGGCTGAAGTGCAGGGGCTCCAATCATGGATCACTGCAACACTGACCTTCTAGGCTCAAGCAATCTTCCCACCTCAGCCTCCTGAGTAGCTGGGACTATAGGCACACGCACTACCATGCCCAGCTAATTTGTTGTGTTTTTTTGTTTAATTTTCTTTTTTTTTTTTTTTTTTTTTTGTAGAGACAGGGTCTCAAGATGTTGTGCAGGCTAGTCTTGAACTCCCAGGTTCAAGTGATCCTCCTGCTCCCAAAGTGCTGGGGTTATAGTCATGAGCCACACCATCGTGTCTGGCTGAATTCTGTTCTTATGGGCAAGTTAAGAATGTTATAAGTAATTTTGATTATACTCAACTTCTGTCTCACAAACTTGCTCCTGAATGCAATCCCTGCATAAGATGGCATATGATCCTTTATGTAGCAAACAGAGTATCTGGATAAGACATTTCCCTTTACCCAAGTGAAGACAAAAACAGGAAAGGGATACTGGAACAGAACATGCAGAAAACAGATAAAGAACCTAATCTGCAGGAAATAATAATCTATGAATAAAAAGCAAAATAGAAATATGAAAGCAATGAAATAATGACAAAAAATTAGATGTTAACAGAACAATGAAATGAAAAAAGAACAAATGCTAAGTAAAAGAACCATAGTAACAGCCTTTCAGAATTAAATAAATTAGAAATAGCTAACACTCTAACACTTTCCACTGTTATAAATGATTTATATGTGGTATCTGATTTAATCCTCCCTCATATGTCTGTGAAATAAAGGTACTACTATTATTCTCATTCTGCACAGATGGAAACAGAGACATTAAGTAATTTGCATAAGGTCACATACTTGGTGAGAAACATTACAGACACACCTGAAATGTAAATTTTTGATACAGTGAAAGAGCCTAAGAAAACCACAGTGAATGCAGAAAAAATAGATGTGGAGGACAAAGGTAATCCAATAAAACGATAGTCATGTCTTAAATGTAGAGAGCCCAGCAAATACAAAATATTTTAAAATATATAATAGAAAAAAGTTTCCTGAGAAAGAGAATTACACCTGCAAATCAAAACAGCATACTATATGTCAGGAAAAACTAATGGAGAATGATCGACACTGAGATGTATTCTGACTGTTACTGGCTTTCAAGCTTAAGAAAGATGGCTGTGGTCATGCAAGTCACCTAAAAAGGGGACAAATAGGACTGGCATAAGGTGAGGGAAGCTAGGTGGGAGGAAGTACTAATAATCTTCTCACTTTTCATTGTAGGGAGCCAACAAATAATCGTATATGTGAAATTAAATATGAAGTTTAAAACAACTACCAAATCCGACTTACAGTGATTTTTATAGTTTTCTTCCTTAATATTAGACAGATCTCACAAAATATCTTGGAGGGAAGAAACATTTATAGAAATTCAGCAATGCCTTCATTTTAACTTCTTCCTATCAATGTCTCCCTTCCTTCCCAGTCTGTCCCTGCCTCTCAGTACTCCTCAATGAAGAGATATGTGGAATGTTGTTCACTTAACTGTTTAAACAGGTAATTTCTGGGCTTTAGGTTTTCACATCTTCATTCTTTGTGTACTACCATAGTTCTGTGGAATGCACATGTTATAAAATAATAAAGCCAATTTATTCTTTAAAAAAGGAAAGGAGAAAGGATGTGATTTCCATTCTTTCATTTTTTAAAAATAAGCATCCTGAATGACCTTAACAACTCTACTTCATGGGTGACTTTCCTAAATAACCCTTTTTAAAAATAACTGATAGAAAAGCATTTTAAAAAGCAAATTACACTACACCAACTATAAAGCAAAACAAGGAACGCTGAGAGATCAGCAAGGACCACAGTCAGCTTTTGCGTTGCCCTGTGAGTATCTGCAAGTCATGAAAAACCTGAACTCTGCTTTAATGTCTATATGGGGTATGAGTGATACGAAAGAAAACCCAAGATGGTGACTTTAATAAAAGACCCAGCACTAAAGGAAGAAAGAGAAATAAACCTTACAACACAGAAGGAGCTAGCAAAGAAACTTGCCCATCTTCATCCTGGCACTTAGTGAAGGAAAGAAATAAAAATCTCATTTGAAGTTTCTAATGACAAGCTGGCCTTCATTCACTCAGGCTTCTGGTCCAAATATTAATACATACTAACTGTCCGGGTGATTCAAAGAATCACAAGAAGATATTTTAATTTAAAGTGGTCTCATATTGGTAGAAGAAGACTGGAAGATAAAAAAACATACCTTTTCTAGGGGAAATAAACCCAAACTTAAGACTCAAGAAAACTTCACAGATTGAGTTCCAAAGAAAACAATCGGTTCATATTCAAAAATCACAAAGCACAAACTTGAAAACAAGGTACTGTAAGAGCAGAAAACAGATCAAACATTTTAGTAATGGTATCATTCGGCAAAGAATATAAAAGGAGAAGCTTGAAAAAGAGCAAGGAACAAGAAGATTTAGAAAGAAATAAAACAGACTTCCAGTAATGAGAAAATGAATGAATGGATGCAATGCCAACTAGAGTTGAAGACAGAAGTAGTAAATTGGAAGATGATCTGCAGCAGTTGCCAAAAATATAACCCAGAGAAACAAAGACATGAAACACACAGGAAAGGCAAATGGAAAAGAAAATTTAACTAACATTAAATTCGAATTCCAGAAGGAGATAACGAGGAAAACAGCAAAAAGGTAACTAATATTCAAGAAAACGAATGAGAAATTTTCAGAATTGTTAAAACAGAATCTCCGATTTAAAAAGGCCAGTCCCTTGACATACTATTTAAGTGATATATTTGTAATATCCTCCACATTCTTTTAGTTTTCCTTAAATTTTTGTGGCTTTTATCTCCCCCTTTTCATTAGGATGTGAACTGAATTTCTTAGGTCTCGCTTTTTTTTTTTTTTTAAACAAAAGTAAATTTAGTATTCCTTTAAAGCAGCATTACAGAAGGGTATAGATTAATGCTGTGTAACTCAGGAATTTTCCTGAATGAATGACTTTATGTCACTTATTTTAATTTGGTTTTAAGAAGAATTTGCTTGAAGGCCACCATAAGGGACCAAAGTGCAATTTAAACAAATTTCTGGGCCTCACTTCCTACTAACCTCCATTTCCTGCCTTAGCCACTCTTCTAGTTCTGTATTCTTTCGAGCATGATGAGGTATTAGATCTGATCCTCCAATGATGTGTGGAAGTTTTCCTGCTCCAGGATATGTGACCTATTGAATAATAAAAGTAGTACGATAAAACATATTAACAACAAAGATGACCATTTTAAAAAAAAGATTAAAAAGCAAAGATGGTAAATCACGCATAAGTGCCAAAGACGTTTATATTCTACAAATAAAAGTTAGAGAGCAATAACTCTGTTCTAAACCCATCTGTTTTCGCCCTTATCTTTTATAGTTATTACTATATACAGATCTGGACATGTCATGGGATTTATGTATTAAAAATAAGTTAACACTTTTAATTTCCAGTTTTTATTTTAAAATGGCCTTACCTTATCATTTAACAATTAAAGCAACTCGAGATGAACACAAACACTACAATTTACAGCACTACTGTATTTTGTTCTAATGACTTCAAAGCTTAAGCTCTTTCTAATATTGATGAAAATTTAAATCTTTTTCAAAACTTTCCAGTTCACTGAGTCCTAGCAGGAGATGTTGGGGATGCCAACAATTTACACTTTCAATTGATATTTTAATTGTTTACAAGTAAAGAGGTGCTTTAAGAAACGCAAATTCCATGTGAAAATGCCTATCAAGATCATTGTTAATACTTATTAGTTAATACCACTGTTAATAGTAACAGTTCCTTAATATTTGTAACATGCTTTTAAAATTCCAACATATGAAGTAGAAAGAGAATTTTAAATTTCTTTTCACCCCTAAGCAGTATTTTAAAAGTTTAAAAAGCACCATATCATTGATTGGGAGGGTTGTTTGAGACAGGGTCTCACTCTGTCATCTAGGCTGGAGAGTGCAGTCTGAGGAGAGAGAAAATCACCTGGTGACCATTGAAAAGGCCCCAGAGACAAAACTTCTCTGAGCAATTTAGAAGGGAGCAAAGACCAACTGGTGACCATCAAACAAGCTAACCGGAGGCAAAACTCCTTATGTGGGGAATTTAGAAGTAATCAAACTTCCCCAGTATCTAAAGTCAGCTTCTGATTCCAGGCCTCTTTCAACTTTTATAAGTAACTAAAATTTTTATACATCTCTGGAATGCCATGCTGAAACTCATTTTACAATCCCAAACTCCCACCTTAAGGTCCATAAATGCTCCTAAGGACAATCCGCCATGGTGTGCTCAGTCCTCTCGCTGAGGCGCTGCTCTGTATTCTTCTGCAGTGTTCTTCCTTTCTAATAAACTTTCCTTTTTCAAATCTATACTGTTGTCGGTAAATTCTTTTTACCAACCCATGAGTTGACCACTTCCCAATGCTGGGGCTCTGATACCTGGCCCAGCACAGTGGTGTAATCTTGGCTCACTGCAACCTCTGCCTCTTGGGCTCAAACGATCCTCCGACTTCAGCCTCCTGAGTACCTGGGACTACAGGCAGACGTCACCACACCTAGCTAATTTTTATATTTTTTTGTAGAGAGAGGGTTTCACCATATTGCCCAGGCTGGTCTCAAACTCCTGGGCTCAAGTCATCCACCTGCCTTGGCCTCCCAAAGTGCTGGCATTACAAGTGTGAGCCACCAGGCCCAGCATGACTCGGAGATACAAAAAACTCAGACAAATTCCTGCATTAATATCAATCCAGTTAAACATCCTCCTGTAGAAATTTTGAATTGGATTTCTTCTATAGTTTCAGAACAGATTACTTGGTTAAGGATAGCAGTATTTTTAAGCATTTTAAGTATTTCCAAACCACTTTCCAGAAATTTATATCACTTCATACTTCTTCAATTGTTAATACACCACTCTGTGCCAATAGTAAACATTACTGCTGTTTCTTTGTAAAACTATAAAAAAAGTATTTTGAATTTTATGAGATCTTGTAACACAATATTAAACATGAAGTAACCATGTAGTAAGAATGCCTTTGTGCTATTCATGAACCTCAGATACAGGGTGAGAAAAAGTGGGTATTAAACAAAAAGCTATCGTGGTGCCATTTAACTGGAAGATATTTCCATTTTCTGCTCTAAGTAGAAGAGATTCTTCCCATCGAATGGAGTTCAGAACCCTTTAGATACTATTATAGTAGGTAGAACTAATTTAACTGTGAAATGTTAATAGTAAATGCTCACAGTAGAGAGAAAAACCTCTACTACCTCACAGTCATGACAAGATCATGTTACAGAGGAAAGCAGTTTTCCACAAAAATTACTTTTGAGTAATTACTGTACTCTGATCAAATGGATAAGTAAAGGTTAGCAGTCAGAAGTAGGTCTGGAGCAAGAAGCAAATGTAAGACAACAAAAGAATACCTACTGGATAGAAGTCTTTTTTTAACCATTATCGAAAAAATAAGTATAAGTTCCTTAATGAGCAGAAACTCAGGTCTGATGATCATACTCAGCATACATATTTATATTGTGTTTTATACGTAAATATAGACTATAGTTTGAATTATTAAATATGTTCAGTTATTTTAAATACATTTTAATCTTCATAAAGTCCTGAGCTAAAGAACCCTCTTAGGGTAGTTGTAGACCAATATTAGACTAACAGAGAAGATCCTGTGATTATCAACAAAAACTTTCTGCTTACGGTAGAGAAAACCAGGTAAACAGCAACTTGTAAAGAATTCAATCTTGATGAAATCTATTTCATTCTAGGTGTCCACTATATTCATTAACTGTAAGTTCATGTCCTTCCTAGAAGAATTTTTTCAAGCATTTTAAGCAGAAGAAATAATATCAGTTTTCAACATAAACTGCTTTTATTTTCGTTTAGCATCATTGGTATCTCTAAAAACATTTCAAACACTGACCTGTTGTGATACAGTTGAAATACCTACCTTTTTGAATTTCTTGAAATTGTTAAGTTGACCATAATCATTTATGCCAGATGGATTTCTGGAAGTAGAGTTTTCAATCACCAGTGATCTAAATTCAGTCAATAACAACTTTCTTGGAAGCATCTCACTATCATCCTGAAGTTTGTCATTGTTCTTAGATGGGGTTAAGATGGATAGGTAAGAAAGAGAAGCAATAACAAAGAAAAGTCACTTGTCATTTGGGAATCTATAGAAAAAAGTTCAAATACCTGAAAAAATTAGTAAAAATGTTTTATTTCTCATACCTGAATTTGTATTTGGAATCAAATCATATCTAATTCAAAATCAGAAAATTACTCAAATGCTCTCTAACTTTGGAAACATTTATACTCATCTGTGATAGAAGGCTAAAAACTGTGAAGTATTTTTAACCTAGTAGTTATTCTAATAAATATCATCTCAGTAAATAATTTACCTCCAGATATATATTTTATTGACATAAAATCTCAGCATTGTCTGCTTTTCATTAAAATTGTACACTGAGATTATAAAATACCCTGTTCTACAGATCCTCATCTACTTTTCTTAAACTTTTGGGATTGTCAATAGTTTGTATTTTTTATTACTCTTAATATCTCAAAAAAGTCAATCATTAATTCTGGACATACTATCTCATTAACTGACAAGCCATTTTTAATTCAAGATTAATGGCTGTTAAATTCGCCTAAAGAGTCCTTCCTGTTATCCTTCAATTGCTGGATGAGATTCTTGGCTTCATGTCATTTACTATTAACTAGTCAGTTACACATCAACATTGTTACAGCTGCTTAAGGCTGACATCTTAGTTCTTTTAACTGCTGTAACTATGTAATTAATATGCAAGTTGCTAATAGGTCTAAGATAAAAGCAGTCAAAAAGGAAAAAAAAATGGGGAAAGTCAGAAGAAAAGGTTCATCTGATAGTGACAGAATGTAAACAGCACATTATTAAGAACAGCCTAAACTTTTAGAAATATTTCCCACCCATCACTCTATCTGATATAAATCCTGCTAGAAAAGCATCAACCTCATTTTATAGAGTATTTGAGGTTCTTAAATGTGAAAATGACTTGTTCAAGGCCACATAACTAAGGAGTAGAAGGCAGGGAATTAATTATACCCTGGCTTCTCTCTATACTCTTCACTGCATCATGGTTATAATATAATCGATCCAGGCCGGGCACAGTGGTTCACGCCTGTAATCTCAGCACTTTGAGAGGCCAAGGCAGGCGGATCACCTGAGGTCGGGAGTTCGAGACCAGCCTGACCAACATGGAGAAACCCCATTTCTACTAAAAGTACAAAATAAGCCGGGCCTGGTAGCACATGCCTGCAGTCCTAGCTACTTGGGAGGCTGAAGTAGAATAGCTTGAACCCAGGAGGTAGAGGTTGCAGTTAGCTGAGATAACACCTTTGCACTCTAGCCTGGGCCACAAGAGCAAAATTCTATCTCAAAATAAATAAACATAAATAAATAAATGAAAGAAATAATAATATGATCGATCCATTTCCAGGCACAATCATGAAGTATGCCAAAATTAAGAAAGAGAAATAATCCAAAGAATGTAAAATGACAAAAACTGATGAGATGACAGTCTCTGTAAGCCAAATCTGTAAAAAATTAATAAAACGTTTCTCACAGATATTTCTTCTTTAGTTGACCATAGTGATCCTTCCTTGAGTTCACGTTTCTTCCCAATTTCATTTTCTTGCTAAAGAAATAAAATAAAAAATACTGTTCATAGGAGTTATAAAATTGTACCTTTATATCACTTCTTGACCTTTTGAATAAGATGAAGTGTTAAATGGTTCCTTTCTAAAAACTTAAGAGATATTCATGTTATGTATAACCAGGCATTTGGCTTTCAACTGCTTTCCAAAAGAAATTATGAGATGAAAATATATGTTGAAAGAGATACTGTAGTATCAGGGCAAAGAATTGGAAGCAATCTAAAGCCACATAAATCACATGCTTAGAGAATATTTAACAGTATGGGAAAATGATTATAAGTAAATTAAAAATGACTACAAAATTTCACTAATAGTCTGCAAAATATAATGTAAAGAGAAAATACTAAAATATTAACCATGGTTGTCTGTAGATGGTAGGATTATCAACAAACTGTCAGTTTGTTTTATTTTATACATGTCTGTATGATCGTGTATTACTTTTATAATCAAAAAAGAAACATTTTAAAAGAATTCAAGTTTACAATAGTGTCTTAAATCACACTTAAAGAAGAAACAGGTACTTTAACTGTTTAAGATATTTGTCTGGAATAAAAGTGGACTGCCTTGCATATAGTCACAGTACCTTTCACATTAACATGTCTGGATCATGTTCTGGACGAAACAATATTACATAAATGGGTAATGAAAAATGCTTAACTTGAGATACAATTCTCTTGGATGCAAAGTGGGGGACCTAACATTTTACATCACATTTTCAGTAATACAGCAGTAAGTCATGAAAGTTTTAAAAAGGAAGTTGGAAAGGGCAGAAAAACAAATGTACTTTGTGCTTGCCTACAGAGTAAAGAGGATATTTTAATCAATAGGATTAAATGTATGTTCCAGGCCTATCACGTGCCATTTTACTTAGGCTGAGTACTTTCACATAAAATTTACAGAAAGTTGTTAACACAATCAGAACATTTTACTCCCTTTATACATGAATACAAACTCCCTTTACGCACCTTTTCCCCATCCTGCCCTACTCTCTCAAAGTTGCTCTTCCTCCTGAAGTTTTGATTTTCCAACTCAGAGAATCATAAAACCTACCTAGATACTCAGACTATAAGCTTGGAAATTATCTTTTATCCTTTCCTATCTATTTATTTCCCATATAAGCAAATCACCAAGTCTTGGGGATTCTACCTCAATGCCTATCAAACTTCTCTTCTCAAACTGCCTTTCATGGTAGATGCCCAATGCCTACAATCATGGAATAACTCAGTGAATTACACAGTGAAAGCTGACAAAAGAACAGTCAAAAGAGCATGGCAGATCTGTGTTTAAGTCCCAGTTGTCAAACCTAGCTATGTGACCTTGGCAAGTTACTTAATAACTCCCACTGTCAGTTTCCACACGTGTTTAATAGGTGTGTTTAACTACTGCATTGTAGGGTTGCTGTAAATATAATAAAGGTATCCAATAAGTGGTAGCTATTACTACAGGATACTGGAAAATGCTATAGTTTTAAGAATTTACTAATGAGTATTGAAAAAACGCTAAATAAAAATGCTTAACTTGAGATAGGAGGGTGGAATGAAGTGAAGAGAAATTAGATACAGGGGATGCTGTTAAGAAGTATGTTAAGGATCTTGAGTCAGTTTTGCATTTTATGGAGACTGTGAAACTGAAAGTAAGGCCAAGACACAGCTATCTATGCATAGCTATCATTCATATAAGGATAAAATCCTAGCAGGAATATTAAGCTAATAATTTTCCATTTCAGCTGATAGGAAATCTTACAGACATGCTATAATCTAAATTTAGATCCAAAAACAGAAATGACAGTTCTACCATCAACATCTTTTGGAAAGTGCCTTTCTGAAATATAGCTAAGGATTCCAACACCAAAGAGAAGTATCACAATTTTTGCCTTCAAAAAGTTGCAAAAAAATTAAATTAAAGGATTAAGAAGTATTTTTCTCTTGACAGTCACTTCTGCAGCTAAAAAAATTAAGCACCAATTCCTTTAATCCATGAGATTAACAAGGACTTTCAGACAAATTCTTAAAATAACAAAAATAAAATAATTTAAAACAAACCCACATTGAGTAAGGTTGATGGATTTTATCAATGTCAATTTCCTGGTTGTGATACTGTGCTATAGTTATGCAAGCTGTAACAATCAGGGGAAATTAGGTAAAGGGTTCACTGCATGTGAACAATTATCTCAAAATAAACAGTTTCTAAAAATAACCTTACATTGAAAACAGAAACACTTTTGTACCTATTACAGATTCTTACTAAAAATATTATAGTGCTAGAATACAGTGATTTAACCTGTAGTAGTCAATCCCATGGTATCCCTGGGGAATTGGTTCCATGACTTCCCATGGACACCAAAATCCATGGATGCTCAAGTCCCTGATAAAAAATAGCATAAATTTTGCATATAACATAGGCACATCCTCTCATATACTTTAAATCATCTCTAGAATACTTATAATACCTAATACAATGTAAGTGCTATGTAAATAGTTGTTAGGTAGGAAATAATAATTTTTAAAAAGTTTGTACATGTACAGATGCATTTTCTTTCCCAAATACTTTCAATCACATGCTGATAAAATCAGAGGATGTGGGACCCATGGATACAGACGGCCAACTGTATCTCAATCACAGATACTGCAATTAAACTGCTATTCTCTCTCCAAAAGCCTACTACAACATATTTTGTACTGTAATTTTCATTTAGAATGTCATGAATTCTGAAACAGTAAAATAAAGGAAAAGTGGAATTATGCTATAGGATCACAGGGCAAAATAAAATAATTACATTTCCTGATATCATTATACCTCATATAAACCTTACATATTAAATGAAAGTTCTGGTCTATGAAAGACTGTCTGATGGCTCCCATGTCAAGGGTGTACAGTGCTCAGTTCTTGTGTTTCCCCGTCAGTGCTCTAACGCCCAGTGCCCTGAGTGACATAAGCCCTGGGAGAATGTGCAGTGAAAATAGGTCTTCAGGAAAATTCATTAGCAGTCATCCAGGATGAGCCAAAGAGAGCTGTTACAAACTAAAACCACAACCATCTCCAGACAGATTTGTGGCCACCGTAGCAGTGGACTAATCTGGGATGGAATTTAAGGGAAAAAAAGGGGGGTGGGGGGAGCTACTTAAAAAAAGATTAAAGTCACTTTGGGAGGCCAAGGCGGGCGGATCACGGTCAGGAGACTGAGACCATCCTGGCTAACATGGTGAAATACTGTCTTTACTAAAAATACAAAAAATTAGCCAGGCGTGGTGGCAGGCACCTGTACTCCCAGCTACTAGGGAGGCTGAGACAGGAGAATGGCATGAACCCGGGAGGCGGAGCTTGCAGTGAGCGGAGATCACGCCACTGCACTCCAGTCTGGGCAACAGAATGAGACCCCATCTCAAAAAACAAAAAAAGATTAAAGTACGTACTAGGACAAGAAGACTGAAGAAAGTAAGAACATGTCAGAGAAAATCAGAGGAGAAAAGAGCACAGCAAGGGAAATGCATTTCCAAAGCTGTGGCCAAAGTAATGTAAAAAGTGCCTAACTTTCTAAACACTTACCTGTAATATTAAGTAACTGAATACAGATTCTGAAACAGTCTGGAACTAAAGTAATAATGTAAATCCATAATGCAACAGAATAAAGATAGCTTTACAAACATATGCAAATGTATTAAACTTAGCAAATAATGTCTTGTATTTCAACAAATGTCACATTAAACTAATTTACCTAGCTCTCCACCATAGTAGAAATTGATACAGAAGTGACTTATAGAATATATAAATCTCTTGTTTCACTTAGTGCTTCTGTGAAATGAAAGTAGTCTTAAATCCTTCACAATAAAAAAAAATAAAAACCCTCTGTCTCCGAAGTTCTCACTCTGGCTGCAAAATGGAATCTGGTAATTCAACATTCATTCTCTCTTTGTTCCTTAAATACAACTCTTTATCAGGGACAGCAATGTGCCAAGTTTAAAACATTTCCAGACTCTTCTAGACTGAGGATAGAGAGTGGCTAAATTATATCCAATTCTGCCAAAAACAAAAGTTATTAAGTTGGGTTTCTGAGAAAGCTCCTTAGAAAACAGGTAAGAATTCAGCTGGAAAGGCCTTTACCCTGTCCCCTCATCATCACATTCTTCCTCCCTGGAAAGTAGACTTGATGGCTGGAGGTATCCTCTCAAAGAGCAGAAAGACAGACACCTAGTAAATTAATACCATGGAAAGCAGCTCTGATAATCTACTTCCAGGCTACTTTTATAGGGGAAAAAAGATTCTATCTCATGGAAGCCACTGATTTTAGAATTTTTAAAAATATCAAAGGAATTCTTAGCTAACACAATGAGGGAACTTATCCTGGGAAGGAAAATCAGATATACTGAATGAAAATCTCTGGGGCTCTGGCCCGGGAATCTATATTTTCAAAAAGCTTATTAGCTGACTCCAATGCAGCTGGTCCACAGAAGGGCATTTAGGATCACTAGAAGAAGTAACAAATAATGGGGATACCCTTGCCTATATGAAGATAACAATATACAGGCCAAATAGGACATAACGTTCTGTTTTTTGAGGAGTAGTTATAGATTTATAAGGTCCTTGATAAACTCTAGGTTCTCAACTGCTTAGCTAATAAACTATAACTTCCATTCACTTAATCCTATCCTTTCGCCTATTCCTATCCTTATTGTGCAGGTGTTATAGGAGAGGATTACCACAGCCATGAATGAGTGGAGCTAATGAAACCATGTTGGAGATCAGAATATTAAAATTTTACTTCATCAGGTCTGTGCTCTCATCTAAAGAGCTACCAAATCTATAGCCAGATCAACTTACTGATGTATATAAAAAAGAAAATAATCTGAGGTGTTTTCATAGATCAAAATAGGTAAGACAAATTATCAACATTCATGAAAATAGACAAGGATATTAAAAAACCTAAATGAAAATGCAAATTCCTAGTGATGTCATATCCTAAAAATTTATTGAGTAGATACTTAGTTTTACTAACTTCATCTTTCTGTGCCTGTTTCTTATACTGAACCATCTCCTACACTTATCATCACAGCCAAATGTCTTTTATAATAGTACAGCCTAATTTGGAAATCTATTAAAACAATCTTATATGAAAGTTTAATTTGTGGTCATTTATTTTACACTACTGAAGAATCACTGTACTTTTAACATTTACCATTCACCTTATCAACCTACAAATTCCTATAGTACTGAGTGTTAAAAACATTAATGGATGCTCATACTGTCAATACAAAATCAAAAGTACCTTTTAACATTCTAAGCTTCTATGTACTATACCTCTCATTTAAAATGTTACTTACAGATATTTTGCTACTTTCTGGTACTGCTTCATCACTGAAAGTATCATTTGTTTCTATATCCATCCTTGGCCTTTTTCTAATATTGACATCTTCCTCTTGTTTTTGAACTTTCACACCAGTTTCTAATTCTGGTTTTGTGTCCTTGAATAACTGTTCCAATACTTCATCTTCTATGGCCACATCATCCATTTCTCTTTTTTTATTTGATCTTAGCTTTTCTGAAGCATGAGATTTACTGGCAGAATTTTTCACACTGGATTTTAAATCTGTATCTGTAAATAAGTTATCATCTGAGTTTGTGTCCACAGGCTCATTCTGAGATAGATGCTGCTCCTTATTTTGCCATAATGAGGGTGTAGCAGGTTGTGTTTGTTCTAAAACAGAACAAGACATTTCTATTCTTGCTGATTTGCATGAAGACATTTCTTGATTTTCTTCATCCCTTTCCCTTAGATTTAAAAAAAAAAAAAGAAGAAAACAAAACAAGAAAATGAACACAGCTAAGTAATCTTTTAGTTTGGCAAAATTCATCACTCCCTCCATTTAGTTCACAATGTACTCTTGATTTTATTAATTAACACTATTACTGGAAATCAACAAATAGACCTTTGAAAACAGTGCAGAACTCACATTTCTGCTGTTTTGATAGAACTGATGGACCCTGTGGCTAAAGCAGTATGGTGATCGCTATCTTCTCTGCTTAAGTTGCATTAGTTGATAATTACAGGAAAAGGTAGAAAAATATAAAAATACAAAGAACATGTTGCCAGGAAACAGCAGCTTACTTTATAATGTAGTAAGGTTGTGGGCAGGGAAAATTACCCTGGGAATATAACCTGATGGGTTAATGAGAGACGGATTTAAGATAGTAAGTCGGAGTGACTAAATCTACAATACGGTACTGACTGTATACTGCAAATGCTATGTGAATGTATCACTAAAAGTTTCCTATACAATACTGTATCATTCATTCAATAAATACCAAACTCTTTATGCAAAGTGCACTAAGCCCATAGAGGACACAAAGACCTGGGACTCTGTTCTCCAGGAGTTTATTGGATTCATGTTGAACTAGAATAGTCAACCCAATGTTCTATTAACACTAATTTAATGCCAAGGTACCGGACAAACCAACCAATCAAGAGGTTTTTGTAATAATTTAGGTGGTCAGAATTTGAACCTGGCAATAGATGGAAATGGAGGGATTGATAGACACTGAAAATAACCATCAAAAACACTGATTTCAGGAGCCAGAGGACAAAGAGTCAAAAATTGTAACAATGTAAGCTATTTTACTAAAAAAAATCACACTGGGTGAGAGGACAGAAAAAGTTTTTAGGTCTATTACTGGGGAAACAGCATGAAACCCCTGTGGAAAAGAAGTAAAGCTTAAAGGAAAAGTTAGGGCCAAATATGATGATTGTCAGTAATAAAGTCTCAAAACCTGAAGGTAGAGTATAAAGAGCAGTAGGGGGAAGAAAAGAAGTCCTCCAAAGTTCATACAGAAATGGGAGAAATAACATCATCTTTTCTGAGAAGCTTAACAGGGACGGTTTAAGACAAAAGGCAGTAGTAGCTAGAGGAAGAAACCAGGTCAAGAGAAGGTTTTCAAAAATAAAGGTGAGATTGAACTTTTGAAAACAGAAGAAAAAAATCTAGGATGATCAATATATTCAAAATATGGAAATTGAGAAAGTAATTGATGGAATATGGTATTAGAGGGAGTGAGAGCGGTTCTCAAGGAAAACCAGCAGAAATGTGATTTTAGAACTGAGATGGGAGCTTAGTTCTTATTGAAGAGAATTGCGGCAAGGAAAACAACACGTAAGTATATGCATAGAAGGAGATAAAGGAGAATCTGTCTAGTGGCTCTAGTGAAGGAGATGAGGGACATTTCTGAGAGGGAAAGGGGTCAAAAAGCCGCAGCAGAAGAAGCATACTTAATCAGCACAGACTAAAGACAATACCATTCTACAACAGGATAAAAAAACTTTCATATTTTTTTTCCAGAGACATGAGAGAAGTTATCAAAAACAGACCTTTTTTTGGTAGACGGCTGAAAGTAGTTTCTGATGGAGTTGGTCTGCTGCTGCTGAGAAGCCCTATCTTTACTTTTATTTATACTTGGCAATTTAGTTGGTGAAAGCTGATAGTTTGGGATTCTCATCTTAGCTAAAGTATTTGATATCATACTATTATTATTGGAGCTTGTTTTGCAGGACTCCTTTATAGTGGGTGTGTCTTGTGAAAGCATTCTGATTTTTTGTTCCATTTTGGAGACTTTGATTTCTTTCGGCCTTTCACTCAAATCCCTGTAGAAAAAGAAATGAATGCAAGGTAAACAATCTAGTTTACAGCAACTTTAATATAGAAACAAAGATCGTTAAATAGTTCTAATGTAATATAATTTTAAAAGATAATTTTTAGACAAAAATACACTGAATATATTTTACCATCCCAGGAAAGCAATTCCTTTATTACCTGGGCAAAGGATGATACCTTACTCTTCTTCACCCCCTAGAGCACATATTGTTGCTCTACTATAGACGACTGACAAACACACAAAGAATACCAACTGAGGATAGCCTATTATAAGTTAAACTAGGTAATAATCCTAGGCAATTTCTGTTTTGTTTAAAAATTTTTAATTATTCCCACACAAAATCACTATTATTATGGTACTTTCATTATTATTTACTATTATATTATTATAGTACTTTTTTATTAAAAATGGAAAATCAGAATAAAATCACATATAAGATATTCAGGTCACTGTAAATGAACTGATATGATTATATTTCAGTCAGATGGCAGGCTCTAGAATAGAACATAACTCTAGATTACCAGAAAAATATTTTAAACACACATGCACAGAGTATACTTTTACATACTTTTTACTTTTACAAAGTATGGTTAAATTAGACACTGCCATTGCTATTCTTATTTTACAGGAAAAAAAAAAAAAAAAGGTCAGGCTGTCATTCAAGCAACTTCCAAAACCTTAACAATTTCTCTTGAAAAAGTTAAATCTGGCCTCAATATGAGTGTAGCAAAAATTAAAATAAATATGGTTTAATATAGTGGTATCTTAAGTATCTTAATATGAACACTTCATTATGTAATATTTAAAATAAAAAAACATACTGTTATAAACAGAAAATAACAAATAATATAAAAGCACTAACCCCTCCCATTCAAAAAAACAAAATAAAACCCCTCTTCAGATAAAGAACCATAGAAAAACTATCTTTATGGACAACTATTAACTATTTAAATAGGTAGATAGACACATATAAAGTATCTTCAAAATTACAAGTGATATTCAAATATAGGCAACATCATACAATACAAATACATGTATTTCAAACTTATCTCACCAGTTACAAATAAATTGAACAACTCTTTCCAGTCATCTATGTACATTTGCAAGGAATAAAAAAACTATCCTAAGACAGGAGTTGCCAAGCTACAGCCTGTAGGCCAAATCTGGTCTGCCACTTATTTTTATAAACACAGTTATTAGAACACAAAACTTTCAATTACAGTCACCGACACCATATAATGATATTTCTGTCAACAATGGACTGCAACATACGATGCTGGTCCCATAAGATTATAAAGAAGATAAAAAACTGCTATCACCTACTGACAGCACAGTGCAACCCATTAAGTGTCTATGGTGATGTTGGTGTAAACAAACCTATGTTGCCAATCATATAAAAGTATAGCACAGTAGCACATACAATTAGGTACAATACATAATACTTGATAATGATAACAAATGACTATGTTACTGGTTAATATATTTACTATATTATACTTTTTATCATTAGAATGCACTCCTTCTTTTATATATATATATATATATATACACACACACACACACACACACACATATAAAACTTTAAAACAGTCTCAGGCAGTCCCTTCAGGAGGGATTCCAGAAGACATTGTTATCATAGGAGATGACGGCTCCATGTATGTTAGTGTCCCTGAAGACCTTCCAGTGGGACAGGATGTGGGGGTGGAAGACAGTGATTGTGATGATCCTAACCCCATGCAGGCCTAAGCTAACATGTATGTTTATGTCTTTGTTTTTAACAAAAAAGTTTAAAAAGTAAAACAAAATATAAAAATTTGAAAACAGAAAAGCTTAATGAATAATATGAAGAAAATATTTTTGCACAGCTATACAATATTTTAAGTATTTTAAGCTAAGTATTATTAAAGTTTACAGAGTACAAGTTACAGTAAGCTAAGGTTAATTTATTATTGAAGAAAGGTTTTTTGTATATAAATTTAGTGTAGTCTAAATGTAGTGCTAATAAGGCAACGATCATGTATAGTAATGTCCTAGGCCTTCACATTCACTTACCACTCACTCACTGACTTACCCAGAACAGCTTCCAGTCCCACAAGCTCCATTCACGGTGTCTTCTTACACAGGTATACCATTTTTTATCTTTTATACAATATTTTTTCTGTACCTTTTCTATGTTTAAATACACAAATACTTCCCATTGTGTTACAATTGCCTACAGTATCAATACAGTAACATGCCATATACATGTGTAGCCTAGGAGAAATAGGCTATACCAGCAGTTCCCATCCTTTTTGGCAACAGGACCAGCTTCCTGGTGAGGTTCTGGGTTTACCGGTGTGGGGAGAGGGGGGAAACAGTTTCGGGATAATTCAAGCATATTTATTGTGCACTTTATTTCTATTATTATGATATTGTAATATATAATGAACTAATTATACCACTCACCATAATGTAGAACCAGTGCGAGCCTTAAGCTCGTTTTCCTGCAACTAGACAGTCCCATCTGAGGGTGATGGGAGACAGTGACAGATCATCAGCCATTAGATTATCATCAGAACCTAGATCCCTCACGTGCACAGCTCACAATAGCGTTTGCGCTCCGATGAGAATCTAATGCTGCCGCTGATCTGACAGGAGGTGGAGCTCAGGCAGTAATGCGAGCAATGGCGAGCAGCTGTAAATAAAGATGAAGTTTTGCTAGCTTGCCCGCTTATCACCTACTGCTGTGTGGCCTGGTTCTTAACAGGTCATGGACTGACACTGCGGCTGAGAGATTAGGAACCCCTGGCTATCTATACTATATAGCCTGGCATATAGTACTCTATATACATAAACATAGGTTTATGTCAACACACTGTTAAATGTTCACACAATGCCGAAATTGTGTAAGGAAGCATTTCTTGGAAAGTATCCTTGTCTTTAAGAGACTACGTATTGTCTCTTGAGAAAGACCACATATCATCTATGGCCACTTTCATGCTACAATGGCAGAGTTGAGGAGCTGGGACAGAGATCAACAGTCCTCAAAACCGAAAATAACTACTCGCCGCTCCTTTACAGAAAACCTGCTGACCCTTGTCCTAAGATATCATTTTCCCGGGGCTCCCACTCTCCCATGCTTTCTCTCTCAAGAGACAACCTGATAAAGGTATTACTTCCTGAATACACTATTAATTTATTGATAGAATAATAACAATAGTTTGGTGACAAAGAAGCTTTACCATGTATCTGCTTGCTCTGATTCTGTGTCAGCTACGCATGTTGTAGTGTTCACTGGGGCGCTTGGCATTAGTTTTTCATCAACTGACAAGCCTTGTGAAAGGCTTGGTCCTGGAGTTGTTGTCTTTAATCCTGTAAATCACACAAATAGGAAGAAATAATCACAACTGCGAGATACAAGATGAACATCTGGTCACTTAAAACTGTTAGACTATGCCATGCTGAGGGGATTAACTAGGGAATACTGCACATGGTTTTCTCCAATGAGTGGCACCAACAAACACAAAACAGTCTATAAGCAGCCTGCTGGCATCTATGACGGGCTTATCTAAACCAAATCATTTTTAAGCTACATCAGACCCTTTGTGCTACAGTATTATCAACTGAAAGAAAAATAAAATAAGCAAATTCTAATTCAAATTATCTTTTAAGTCAGTGGGCCAAAAAATTACATTTATTCCCCCACAGAAAGTATACACACCCTACCATCTATACAAATCAGAATCAATGGGTTTTATTTTCATAAGGAATACATTATTTGAAAGAAATCATGTAAAACCATCTTAGACATAAACTTTTGGCTACTCCAGAAAACCATAATGATTACCTCATCTTTTTATTTACCAGTTCAAGTGCCACCCTTCTGGAATACTTTTTCTTCTTAACACTTTTTAAATGTTTATTATCATTATTATTATTATTATTATATAGAAAGAGTCTCGCTCTGTCACCAGCCTGGAGTGCAGTGGCGCGATCTTGGCGCTCACTGCAACCTCTACCTCCCAGGTTCAAGCGATTTTCCTGCCTCAGCCTCCCGAGTAGCTGGGACTACAGGCGTGCACCACCCTGCCCAGCTGTTTTTGTTTTGTATTTTTAGTATCACCACGTTGGCCAGGGTGGTCTCGATCTCTTGACCTCGTGATCCGACTGCCTCAGCCTCCCAAAGTGCTGCGATTACAGACATGAGCCACCGCGCCCGGCCTGGAATACTTTTTTTGAATCTCCCACACTGAATTAAGAGCTCTCCAATTCTGCTTCCATATCACCATGCACATCAGTCTATTAACAATTCAAGCCGGGTGCAGTGCTTCATGCCTGTAATCCTAGCATTTTGGGAGGCTGAGGCAGGAGGATCACTTGAGCCCAGGAGTGTGAGCCCAGCCTGGGCAACACCGGGAGACCCCATCTCTACAAAAAATAAACAAACTCGCCAGGCATGGTGGCACACACCTGCGGTCCAAACTAATTGGGAGGCTAAAGTGGGAGGATCACTTGAGCCCAGGAAGTCAAGGCTGCAGTGAGCCATGATTGCACCATGGCACTCCAGCCTAAGACCCTATCTCAAAAAACAAAAAAACAATAAACAAAATTCACTTATGACTAGCTGGGTGACCTGTGTCAAGTCACTTAACTTCTTTATGTTTCCATTTCTTCATCTATAAAACGAGAATAATTATAACACCCACCTCACAAAGTTGTTTGGAGGGTTAAATAGCCCCTGGAAAAATGCTTGGAACATAGTAAGCACTGTGTCAGCATTAGCTGTTATCATTATCATCACTTTACTTGTTCACTTGCTACTTTCCCTTGTTAGACTGGTGTATCCTTGAGAATAAGGACTAAGTCTTGCATATTTCTATATCACCAGTACCTAGAGTGATATTTGGTATAGAGTAGATGTAAAAAAAGTTTACAGATTAAACTGTTAACTGAAAAAATTTTTAAGTTGATGTTTACTAAATACCTAAGCTAAATTATTCTGTTAGGTCCTTGTGACATAGGATGTGCTTAATAAATATTTATTACTAATTCTAAATTCAGATACTTAAGTGACTTCTGCCACTTTCCCGACATGACCTCTAGAAGCTCACCGGCATCTCCTTTAAGACACATATCTCTAGAATTCATTTTCACTTGCACATAAGTTTGGAAAGAGTAACAATTATAAATGTTTATATAATCACTGAGTAATTTAATATAGGCTTGGCAAGGTGGCTCGCTGCTGCTCAGCACTTTGGGAGGATGAGGCAGGAGGACTGCTTGAGGCCAGGAGTTAAAGAGACCAGCCTGGTCAACATTGTGAGACTTCATTTCAACAAAAAAATTAAAAACTAGCTGGGCATGGTGGTGCACACCTATAGTCCCAGCTACTCAGGAGGCTGAGGCAGGAGGATTGCTTGCGCCCAGGAATTCAAGGCTGCAGTGAGTTACGATCATGCCACTGTACTCCAGCCTGGGTGACAGAGCGAGACTTTATGAAATAATAATAAGCTGATGACCCAAAAATAACGGGTGTTTGTTGACAGATTACTTACAATTTTCTCCTTGTTAAAAATACCATAAAGGCAGGAACTTGGTCTCATCTATTCACCTCTTTATTTCAAATGCTTGCCATAACACAAGTATGTAACAAATGTTCAATAAATATTTGTTGAATAACAAAAGAGTGAATATAAAAACAAAGGAAGGAGGAGAGAGAAGGGAGACGCATTCACTCTTTTCCCCCAAAGAGGTTGTGCTATAAAATTATTTTAGTATCAGAGGACTATGACTTGGAACCCACATAAACCTACCTACGAAAATGTGCTAGTAATACTACTTACAGTGTACTTTTTAATTCACTTTCATGGCTCTGTTTCTATATGAAATAACACATTAGAAAAAAGTACTAGTCTGGTAGTCAGAAAATCAAATTTTAGAATTGGCTTGTACATGAAGTAGTTATAGACCTTAACTTTTCTCGGCCTTGATATACCTTATCTTTTAATAGAATGATTAGATGATCTCTAAGGCCCTTTCATCTATAAACACAATTTCAACAGTGGGTGACAAAATTTTGTTGCTCCACACTGGAAAACATAATCTTATGTACCAATAGCTTAGTTCAATTATGCAAAATATTTATACCTACTACAAACAAGTACCATGCTTGCTGCTGTTAGGGGATTCCAAATTAGTAAGAGCCTACAATATATCTAGTGGCTGAAAGAGGCGTGCAAACAACTGGTTATATCCAAAGTAGGAAGAAACTCCGGCTGGAATGCAAAAGAGCTACTGAGCATAGAAACAGAATAGTTAAATCTGACTTGGAGGAGTTGGGAGGGAAAACAATTTAGAAGAACCTCACGAAGGAGGTAATCATTCGTAGAATGAGTCAGATTTTGACGAGCAGTACTGAGCATTCTAGGAATGGAACGTTATGATCAAGGTGAGGAAGTGTGGGAACTATAAAAAATATGGCACATGTATTCTGTAGAGAGGCTATGTAAAAAAGGTGAGGATGGGAGGAGGAAGGCTGCAGCTAAACTACTGGGGACTCAGAAGTCTAGACAAAGGGTCTTGGAGATTTATTCTGTGGATAATAAGAGCTAGTTAACGTTTTTCAGAAAAGAGAAGGTAATTTAATAGTGGCATAGTGAAATATTAACTGTAGAGATGAGTTTGGAGTAAGGACCATTACTAGGGCAATTATTAATACAATCAGCTCTCCAGAGAGAAGGATGTAGAGAGTTCAAACAGGGCACTGGCTGTGAGAAGGGGACAGTCACAGACCTCTTGAGTAGAAGCTGTAGAGTGAGAATTTCAGGTCTTGGTGATAAAACGGAAAAAGAAGAATAAAAAATGACCAAAGTTTCCAGTCTGAGTGCTGCTTCTTTGTATATAAAAGAAGACTCCTCTCTAGTTCATTTCTTCCCAAGATTATTCTAATTTAGTGGTTTCTGGAGTTTGTATCGGAAACAGGAGCTTAAAAATCAAAACAAACCAAAAAACTCAGATGTCTAGGATGCATTTCAGAATGTTCTGAATCATGGAGAATGTACATTTGAATTAAAGATTGCTTCTGAAGCATAATATCTAGTTGAGAATTGATTTGCTAAACAGAGAAACACAGGACAGTGACCCCAAATGGGTGCTGAGACAAGGGGAGCTACTAACTTAGACCTAATCACCATTTTTACATGTTTGTTGTAGTTAAAGCCTAAAATTACTGATACTGGTCTTTTTTCTGTAACAGAACAGAAATCTATCAACAAAATAATATGTACAGCACCTGCTAGTTCTAAAGGTTGGGCATATTTCTAATAGACAAGGAAGGAGTAGTTCCTCCAAGAATATGGCTCTCTTTGGCGTCCACATTTAAAAAGTTCCCTTGCCAGGAGTCTGAAGAGTTGGTCTTTAGCTTTTCACTTTATGGATGAATTCTAGGAATTTGGTGAAAATATTAATCATATCACAATTCCACCAAAATAAGTTATTTGGATATATTTAAAACTTCACAAGCACTTAGGACTGTGTGTATTTGAAGGTTACCTATGTGCAGACACAAACATATCTAGTATACTCAATGGGATAGGGTAGAGATAGCACTTGAATAAACATTCTTATCCAAATAATAAAAAAACAGCCTGTCAAATTTTATCAGATGTCTATCCTTTTGCACCAGCTCCCAATCATCCCTACACCACCATTTCTCAAAACGTCACACATTAAAATATAAGCCATTTGCACTGCAATGTAATAATGTCACAACAGCTTTAAGACTCAGTTTGAACCAATTACTTGCTATGTGACCTCCAGCTAATTTCCTAACCTCTCTGTCCGTCAGTTCCCTCATCTACGAAAAGTAGATGATGCCCTTCCCTCTATCTTATAAGGATTGTTTTGCAGATTAAAGTTTGATGATGTACGTAAAGTGCTTACTCTAGTCTCTGCACACTCCAGAGGCAGCAGTTATTATTACTACTCATGGTTACTAATGATCGACATATCTAATAGCTTCCTGGTCATTAGGCCTAACAGCTAACTCCTTCCAAAATTTAGCTTAGCACATTCCTTACTTGTTTAAACCAAGGTTGCAGAGCATGAGGAGATACACGGACTGACTCCATAGTGGCCATTCAATGGACTACAGTGAATGGTGCTCCTCGGAGTGTGCAATGCGGTGGTGCCGTTCTCTAACTTGTCTCTTTTTGCCCAAGTTCAATAGCTGCTGATGAAATAACTACAGAACAAATCCAGGAAGCAAATAATTATATATAGGAATACAGAATGGATGCTCTGAGAGTTAGGCAAATTAGAAAAGTTAGTAGAGAGAATAAATGTAAAAATCTCCAAGGTAAAAAAGCAAGAAGAAAATAAAGAAACCATTTTTACAACAGCTTATTAAAAATTTTTTTTAAACTATGGAAATGTGTTTTAAATAATAAAGGGGAAATAGTGACTGTCTCTGAATACATTGGCTTTCGTGATTAACACTGAGATTATTATAACGCACGTTCTTCATCTCAGTAAATGGCACCACCATCCACCCAGTTACTTACGCCAGGAAACTAGGAGTCGTTTCTAACTCCTCCACAGGAAAGTCCCACCAGGTCTAGTTCTAAAATATATCCTGAACCTGTTCATTTTTCTGCATCTCTACTACTATCATGCTGGTCCAAGGCACCAGGCTCTTTCACATCTAGATTTCCACAACAGCATTCTACTCATATCTCCTCTTACATTGCTGACCCTTAGAATTCTCCACCCAAACCTAAGAGTGATCTGTTCCTTCTATCTGGAATTATCCACCACCCAGATCCTCACAAAGCTGCCTTTTCTCATCATTCAGGACACACAGCTCAATTGTCACCACTTGAGACTTTCCTCGAATACCTATCTAAAACAGCCTACTACCATCACTATTACAGATCTCACCTTGTTTTACCTGTCTTTATATTTGGCTCGATCTGAACTTATTACGTATGTTTGTTTGCTTGTTTACTAAATCCTGATCTTCAGAACATAAAGTTTACAATAATAAGGATCTTACTTTATTTACCACTTCATAACAGTGTCTGCTACATGGTAGCCAGAAATATTTACAGAATGAATAAGTGAAAGTATAAATGGATGAATTTTAAAATATGGTGAATATGCTCACCCCTAGCAAGTATATAAGCAACGTATATTTAGCTTATCAATTTACGTAATAAAGTTGTTAACGAATCAATAAAATCATGCTTTAATTACCTGTACTGGGATGGCCCCGAGGATCACAGTAATTCTTTGTAGTCATGAAAATCACCGCCAATCCAATTTCTGCTTCAGGAATAGGTCTAAGACCTTGCCTATTAGAATAAAATAGTTGAAGTATGATAATATATTAAAACTAGCAACTTTTATTAAGACAATGTCAAGATAAAGCAACCTCTTTTTTTTTCCTCCCAAATAATTTTATGGTATAGACAAAATTTCAAATGCAGAGTACTATAATAGCTTACTCGCTGGGGCACTGTTACGTTGACGAGTCTACCATCTTTCAGTAACTCCATTAACTTTACCTGTAAAAGAAGGGGCTAAAGAATATAGATCTTCCCAGCTGTACAATTCTACAATTTTTGGAATAAAAAGAAAACAGTACTACCCACATTAAACAATAGAACAGGCTTTTATGGCCAGGCATGGTGGCTCACACCTGTAATCCCAGCACTTTGGGAGGTTGAGGCGGGTGGATCACCTGAGGTCAGGAGTTTGAGATCAGCCTGGCCAACACGGTAAAACCTCGTCTCTACTAAAAATACAAAAATTAGCTAGGTGTAGTGGTGCACACTTGTAATCCCAGCTACCTGAAAGGCTGAGGCAAGAGAATCGCCTGAATTTGTGAGGTGGAGGTTGCAGTGAGCTGAGATCATGCCACTGCACTCCAGTCTGGATGACAGCATGAGACTCCATCTCAAAAAAAAATAAAAAATAAAAAAAAATAACAACAGGCTTTTACAAACAAATCTATGGATACTATGATCCTAAGATGAAACTTCAAAGAGAAGAAAAAAAGAAGGGAGAGAGGAAGGATGGAGAGAAGTAGATAGAACTATACCTAACGTATATCTATACATGTGTTACAACTTTAAGTATAGTAAATCAAATCATTTTGCCAAATTTACATGTATTAAGGTATCTTCACATTAAAGGAATCTTATGGTGAACCTATTTTTTGTTGTTCTGTAAGGTCAATGACTGATTTTTATATAAACAAAAATACACCATTTAATATCATATAAAAATGACACCTCAAATTTTAACAAAGAACTACGACATGTCTTTTAATACTCATTGTAAAGTTGTTGTTGTTGTTGTTGTTTTGAGATACAGTCTCGCTCTTTTGCCCAAGCTGGAGTGCAGTGGCACAATCATGGCTCACTGCAACCTCTGCCTCCCAGATTCAGGCAATTCTTGTGCCCTTGGTTTCCCAAGTTGCTAGGACCACAGGTACACACCACCACACCCAGCTAATTTTTGTATTTTTAGTAGAGATGGGGTTTCACTATGTTGGCCAGGCTGGTCTCGAACTCCTGGTCTCAAGTGATCCGCCTTTCTCAGCCTCCCAAAGTGCTGGGGTTACAGGCGTGAGCCACCTTGCTTGGTCAAGATATTTTAAATGGTTAGTTTGCAAGGTCTTTTTCAAATGCTTAATGTGTCTTTTTGTGTGTATTGAGCTTACTTAAATAGGATTCAGTTACATGTGCAATTAAAGTACTAGACTAAAAAAATAAAATTTTAAAAAGCTTTATAATCGAGTGATCACATATACCTACCTATAATTCAGGTAATTCAAAACTGGTATTTTATTACTCTACTAACTTTTGCAACTATAAATTATACTATGTGAATTAGTTATGAAGAATGGTTACATAAAATAGAAACGTTTTAATACATATTTAATAATGCTCTACAGAAATTACATCACCCTTAATGGAGAAACACTGGAAGCATTTATTTTAAAGTCAACAGTGAGATAAATGTGGACATTATCACCACTTATAGTCAACACTGTTCTGGAGGTCCCAGTTGGTATGAAACAAAGAGACAGAAAAAAGAGGTATCAGAGAAATAAGGATTAGAAAGGAGGGTGGAAACATTCCTTATAGATGATATGATTTATAGAAAAGACTACAGATAAATTATTAGGAAAAAAGAGGAGTCTGGCAAGACGGCTGGATATAAGATGAATATCTGAATGTCAGGTGAATTTCTTTACAGCAGTAGTGAACTAGAAAAAGTAATTAAACTGACAATATTCACTTATAATAATACCAGAGAATATGTACTAGCTAGGAATAAATACAGTAAGATATTCAAGATCTCTATACACAAAGTATAAAATTCTATTAAGAGATTTCAAGAAAACCTAAATAAATGGAGATACCACATTCAAGGATAAAAATAATTAAAATTTACATAAATTGTTCATTCTCAAGTTTACTTGTAGATTCAGTGCACTTCCTAATCAAAATCCAAACAAACTGTAGCAAAAGATGATTCTAAATGTAAACGAAAAAATAAAGGGCCAAGAATAGCCAGGATGCTTCCGAAGAGAACAAAAAAACACTTGTTCTACCAGCTAGGAGGACTTCATGGAAGTTGTACTAATTAAGACAATGAGGTATCGGTACAAAGAAAGGCAGACTGATGAACGAAAAAGAATAAAGTCAAAAACACAGAAGTGCATGTACGTAACTTTTGTATAAAACAGAATTCCAGATAAGTTAAAAACAAATGTCAAAAACAAAAGATGGTATCGAAATACTAGTAAAAAACATAGGTATCTTTAAAGCACTGACTAACACAGAAAAGATTTTTACTATATAGCAGGTCCTTGAACAACGTCATTTCATTCAGTGTCATTTCATTATAACATCGGCCAAGAAAAAAAACTGATTCCAAACCAGGGCCGCTGTCTGTGTGGAGTTTGCACTCTCCCCCAGTGTCTGTGTGGGTTTTCTGTGTGTACTCTGCCTTACTACCACATTCCAAAGATGTGCACATTAGGTGAACTGGTGTGTCCAAATTGTCCCAGTCTGAGTGACTGTGGGTGGGTGTGTCAGTGTGCTCTGCAATGGAATAGTGTCCTATCCAAGGTTGGTTCCCACCTTGCACCCTGAGCTGCTGACTAGGCTCTGGCCATCCACAACTGTTAACTGGATTCCGGATGACAGTCATTTCACACAGGAGAAAACTGGGCTAGGGGTAACCATGTAAGTTATTTTCAAAGATCTGGCTGGTATTTTAGATGATAGATTTTTTTCAGACACTTACTGTCTGAAAAATAACTAAATAAATAATTGGTGAACAAAATAAATGTGTATTATGCACAGATCAATAATGAGCATGTGTCACAGACCAAGGATTATGATTCATCCAATTCTGTGCAAGGCTGGGGAACAGGTCAGAAAAGAAGGAAAAGCAAGAGGAGATAATAAAGAGAAAATAATTAAATTAATAACAGGAAGAGTTACCAAAATTTGAGCTGAGATACCAGAAAAAGGCCTCAGCAAGAACAAAAATCAGGGTTGTATTGTTCCCCTGGACTTCTAATCTTCTCCAGAAGACACTTAATCTTTACCACAGATTTCCTATACTCACTTCTGACATCTAATCAATACAGCCATGGCAATCACCGATCACAACGTTGCCCTGTTGAAGTTCGGTCAATAGCTGGCTTTACTGGACATTCTGCTTCATATAATTGCTCCTTCATTGGCTTTAACTAAGTTAACAGGTATTATTTTAAGTGACAGTCTTTCTCAAAATATAATACTGCACTCCCTCCAAAAAATGTATTGTGGCCAGGTGCGGTGGTTCACACCTATAATCCCAGCACTTTGGGAGACTGAGGCAGGCAGATCACTTGAGCTCAGGAGTTCGAGACCAGCCTGGGCAACATGGCAAAACGCACTCTCATAATAAAGAAATTAGCAGCAGCATGGTGGCGTCCACCTGTAGACCCAGCTACTTGGAAGGCTGAGGAAGGAGAATTGCTTGAGCCTGGGAGGCGGAGGCTGCAGTGAGTCAAGATCACACCATTGCACTCCATCCTGGGGCAAGGGAGTGAAACCCTGTCTCGACCCCCACCCCCACCAAAAACCCAAAAAACCATATCGTAACAGGAGCCAAGTGTCACCTCATGATCAAGGTACCAGCGTCTGAGCTACCTGGTACTCCAGTTACTTTTTTTTAACCTCAGGGTCAATATATGCTGAAAGTCAAGAGCCTGGACTCCAGAATCCAACTGCCTGGGCTCACATCCTGGCGACCATGCTCACTGTCTCTGCTATATGCAAACCCCCTTCTGCCTCAGTTCCCTCATCTGCACAGTGAGGACCACAACAGTAAATAATATATAGGTTGAGGATTAAATGTTTATACATACATAAATTCTTAGGCCAAGACCTGCTACGCAGGATAATTTTTTCATTATTATTATATATTACTGCTGTTGCTCTGCCTGGCACATTCTTTGTCTGGCTCTTTGAAAAAGTGGTCATAGGTAAGACATTGTCTAAAAGAGGCCTTCTCTGTTTAGAGTAAGCTTCTTCCCCACTGCCAGGTTACTGCTTCCTTTATATACATGTGTAATGATTTGTTTACTTGTCTTTCTGTGTCTCTCCCTCTAGACAGTAAGCTCCAGTGATGGCAGGGACCATGACTATCTTGTTTTTCATTATATTTCCAGTGCCTAAAACACAATGGAACTACAGTAAATTTGTGTTGTAGTAGTAAGATAGTATTTTTGTTATACAGTACATCTTCTTTTTTACAGTAGTTAATACATCTCAATTAAGTAAAATATTTATAGGATAGATGACTAAAATTTTACTTTTTATTTCAGCAAGCCTGTAAGAGAAAAAAAGAAAATCCCCATGGTCAGAAGGATTCCCGGGACAGGAAAAATGAATCTTTTGTAAGAAGCTGGCTGTGGACTTTTCAGGCATATAAACACTTTAGGACTCACCTTCTTTTTGCTACATGAAGAGCAATTTAGTCAGAAGACTGCCAAGCCTGGTATTTCTATAATACATACTGGCTTCAACAACGCTAAGACTATTAATACAAATTAAGGTCTGAGGAAAATCCTTCAGTTAGCTCTTTTACAGTCTCCCTCCACACTACAAACATCATTTCAACCAATCTGCCTTTTTTTCTGCTTTCCCATTATAGCCTATATAAGGAGAAAAATGTTTGTATGTCTTTCTAATGGGTAATAACCATCAAAGGGCAACTACATTTCAACGCTAGGCAACTGCAGAAAACCTTTCACCTTTGAGTTTTAACTTTCTCAAATGCAACATATTCTGTAAAAAAACTTAACACTACTTTGTTAATTTACAGAGGTAAACTCTACAAATTCTATTAAAATAACAAAAGAGTATAAAATATTTTTGAGTAAAACTGTCATGAATAAAGATATTCTCTATATCTAATATACCAAGTCACAATTAATTTTCAAGTATACTACACTATAAAACCTTTTATTAATTCTTGTATCAGCCGGGTGCAGTAGCTCACGCCTGTAATCCTAGCACTTTGGGAGGCCAAGGTGGGTGGATCATCTGAGGACAGGAGTTTGAGACCAGTCTGGCCAACATGTCGAAACCCCGTCTCTACTAAAAATACAAAACTTAGCTGGGTGTGGTGGTGCACACTTGTAATAGTCCCGCTACTAGGGTGGCTGAGGCAGAGGATCGTTTGAACCCAGAAGGCGGAGGTTGCAGTGAGCCAAGATTGTGCCACTGCACTCCAGCCTGGACAACAGAGTAAGACCCCGTATCAAAAAAAATAAAAACTAGGCCAGGTGTGGTAGCTCATACCACTAATCTCAGCACTTTGGGAGGCCGAGGCAGGTGGATCACCCGAGGTCAGGAGATCAAGACCAGCCTGGCCAACATAGCGAAACCCTGTCTTTACCAAAAGTACAAAAATTAGCTGTGCATGGTGGCGGGCACCTGTAATCCCAGCTACTCAGGAGACTGAGGTAGGAGAATCACTTGAACCCAGGAGGCGGAAGTTGCAGTGAGACAAGATCGCGCTGCTGTACTCCAGCCTGGGTGAGAAGAGCAAGACTCCGTCTCAAAATAAATAAACAATTAAAAAAAAAATTATTGTATCTACTTTTACGTTGTTAGGTGAAAAGCAACCAAAAAGGTTAAACATAAAATCTCCTACTTGCAGTTTTCTACTAATAAAGAATAATTCTATACCTTTGGAGCATATCCATTATTGACCGAATCCATTTCTTCTGAGAGTCAGGAATTAAGGTCTGTGAGTTTGTTATTCCTATATCAACAACACACGTTTCCGGAGCCAAAAAGAAATTATGTTCTTCTTCATTTTCTTCTGTTATCAACCTAGCTTCCCCACCTCCAAAGACAACTGCAGAACTCAATTTCTTATGCTAAAAATGGAAGGAAACATTTTAAAAAGTAAAATGTAATAATGTCTTGAACACATTCTTATAAGAATTTGATTTGGGAAACATAGAAGTACAATTCAAGAAGACTTGGTGCTACTTCTTGAGTAGGTAATTTCAGCTCCCACTCTGAGAAAGTCCCTAGTTCAACAGGTCTCTGCAGCCCTGAACTGTTACACTCTCTGTGGTTCCTCATCACACTTCCTAACAGCACTGTAACTGTGGGCTTACCTGCATTTCTCCACTACAACATAAACTCTCAGAAACCCCATTTTGGCACACAGAACATATTCAACAGATTGAACTTCTTTAGTTAGCTTACTACCTAAAGAGGTTTAGCTTACTAACTAAAGAAGTTAAAACTAAGTTTCCTGTCCTCCTCACTTGTGTAGTTATGAATAGGCCAGTTATCACAGATTTTAAGAAACCCTGTAATCACAGCCATGATCACTGACTGGGCAAGTCTGGTGCCTAGGCAGTTTTTTATTCTACTTCACACTTTTACACAAAATCCCAAAATGAAATACATTAACAACTATTGATAAGAGTTAATAATGTATTCTAGTTTGTAATGTATTCTTTAGGAAAATTTAGCTTATAACATAATTACCTGTTTGGCACTCAAAAATATAAATGTTTTCCCTTTGAAGATTTGTTTTCTTTCCTGTCGTCCTGACAGATCAACATTTTTACTTCCAATAGACGGTTCATCAAGAGGTGGGTAAAAACTGTAAAAATAATTAAAGTATATTCTAATTACATACTACTATGTTTGCTATTAAATTTGTAAATGGAGTGACTATCTGACACTCAAAAGGCATAATTTCCATAATACCATTATAGTATTTTTTTTTCTAAGTAAGAATTTTATCTGGGACAAAATGACAAAAAGCATCTAATTGCCTTTTCTAGAAATACAGTGGCAGGTGACACAAAGAGCTAGAATTGATCATTAATACCTCAAAATAAATAATCCAAGGTAGACAATCATAACAATATGAACATTAAACACACATGACTCAAACAAGGTACTGAATTACAAAAGGTTGAGAGAAACATCATCCATAAAGATCAAACTCTATTAGCATCTTGTGTTTGCTTAGGAGCCAATATCTATTAAAACGCTCATGTTTCAATTCTATTAACACAATCTATTATGAGTGTTTTGTTAGAGTTCTCTTTGGAGAAGTTCAGGAAATTTTTAAACTTACATTATTTACTCAGTTTAAATAAAATTTACAAAACAAGACTAAAGAATATAACATTTTAGCTCTTTAATTTAATGCTATAAGAACATCTTAATCATCCATGAAAATAAAGGAAAATAAGAAAATGGAGAAATATCAACAGCCTCTCATCAGTCTAGAGTTTCAACTTCCTGTATAATCAGATCTTTTGCTACAGCTGTTCATAATTGACCAGCATTTCAACTTCTCTCTCTTCCTTTCAGTAAAAATTACTAACCCATGATGATGATGATAAGGGGACAATGTAGGGAGGGAGAAATTCACAACCTGGACAATCAGTCACAAATCAAGAGTTAACTATCTGCAGAGATCAACATCCAGCGTGGTAAAAACACCGTAGTCATTAAGAGTCACTATCCAGCATTTTAGAACTAATTACCTTACATCTTTCCCCTGGACTTCTCCTTGGAAACATACATGTTTCACAAAGGAAAGCTGAGTTATGATTGAACAGTTACATTACTTTAAAATTTTTTTCATAACTGATGCATGTATTTTAATTTCACTACAATGGATGCTGTAAGTCTATTTTGAAGTAATGATTTCCGGAAGCTGCAATCTCAAATGAGTTATCTGCAGGCAAGAGCAGACTCACTTGGCAGGACAGAATGCAGGCCACTGTGTTAGTTCTGGTTTTTCTAAATAACTAACTTAAAAATTCTATTTATTTTACTTTTAAAATATACAGAGAACAGTGGAAACTATTTTAACTGTTAACAAAAACTAAATCTACAATAAGAGCACTGGAAAGTTAATAGACATTCGGACACATAAAAAGGATCAATTTTAGTATCTCTTTGAATCTTTTTTATCCCTTATCTCATAATAAATATTCCCCCATAATTTATACTTCTTTTTTAGTGTAAAACCTAACTAACACTTTACTTACATACAAATAACTAGTTTACCAGTTAGTCCACACAATAATGTAACAACACTAGGACAGATTACAGAGCCAGTTACAGACAAAAACAGTAAGTAAATGTTTAACACATATGACTATGTGTTACAGTCATATACGACTACAACACTATGACTGAGTAGATGTGACATTCTTCCTGCTTTCCCAAAACACTACAGTTGAATGATTTTTAAATTATCTACCGCTTTATATTATTCACACTGTCATTCTTAATTATGCCATAGATAATAGTTTACAGTAGCCAGGGAGCAGCTAACTGTAGCTTAGTTCAATGAAGTCTGAGCCAGGTTCCTAAACATACGTGTACGGTAGCCTGTTAGGCCTCTCTAACAGCTCCACCAGAGTTCTAACTTTATTAGTGTGATTCTTTTAACAGCTGACTCCTTCACTAAGTGCCATGAGGGCAGAAACTGTAACTTTTTTTGGCTCATCATTATATCCTCAAGTCTATCTTGCCTGACTTTACAAAATATAAATAAAAATTCAACCTAATAATTGAAAAGTGAATAAAAAGTATAAACATCTTTCAATTCCCTCAAGTATAAATTTGAGTATTAAAATTCCAGAACTTGTACAATGTATTTTGGTTTTGTTTGAGAACACTGATAAATTTGAGCCCCAATACTTGGTAAGATCAATCTTGAACAAAAAAATACAAAACTGTATTATCTAGAAGCTAACCAAATGCTGGCTATGACACCAACACGGATTATTCTTAGTAATACATATATCTGATATATGATAAATACATTCATACATAGATAATTAATACAGTGATTAAAAAACACTGTGTTCTAGAACTTCAAATACCTACATAAGCCTTTTTCTTTTTACCAGTGTAATGATGAGAATGAGAAAGAAGAGATTAGTGATGAATGTGAAGAGATCATTAAAAAATCAGTATTTCTGAAGCATTACATTCTAGAAGTTTTAAAGCATTTCTGACACTCTAGTAATTTAATAAACTAGTACAAAAACTGGAAAATAGGAAAGTAACCTGTCAGAGACCTAGGCTAGAGGCATATTGACTAAATATAATGACACTACAAATAAAAAGTGATCTCCAATTTCTATCATTAAAAAATTAAAATGTTTTGGGTTCATTTATATAGAAACTTCAAGAGCTACAAATAATTATGTTTTATTACATAGTAACTAGTACATATTACGAATCATACATTCTATAAAATGTTTAATCTAGAAATTTTGCTTTTTCCCATTTACATTTTCTACTTAAATTCGTTACATGATCTTCAATAAATTTCATATAACCTACAGTATATCATCTTCACTTCTGTACCAAGATTTTGCAAATACAGAATTTTTCTGAATCCATGTATAATTCTGGCTCTAGAAACTGTATCCCAAGCCACACATATTTATTTGTCCAATATCTGGACAGCTGCTTATTTCATTAGTCCTGCAAGCACATGTTCATAATTTTTAGAACCATTTACTATATGGCTTTATTTATTTATTTTTTTGGTGATCTGGAAAAGGCTAGACTACAGTGACATCCACAATTTGCAAATGTGAGGTTCTATCTCCTGAAAAAAATTACTAATACTAGCTAAATTTCTTGCCTTCGATTTAAATTAACTATGTAAGGTGGCCTCTATAAGCTTCCTAAACTGTCAAACTTTCATTTAATGAGATTATTTCAGGCCAATGTGTCTTTTGGGTCTGAGATTTGACTACCAGCTGATAAGTCAACCTGTTCCTGTTTCAAGGATGCTGGCAGAAGACAAACACTCCTGAGTCACAGCAAAGCAAGCAGCATGAGCCCCAGTATGCTTGCTGCAGGTCTCCTCTCTGACCAGGTGCCACAGGTAAGACGTAGGGGGTACATACAGTGGTGTGTGTTACCGGAGAGAGGAACACTGAACTTGGGAAACCACCAGTATTACAACAGGCCATAAGCAAGCCTACATTTTGTCACAGGAAGGAAACATTACTTCATCCCTCGAGGTTTCTCACTGCAAACATACCCTCGAGAAATGGTCTGCGTAAAGGAGAGTCAAGGCCTTGCATTCTTGGCCTATTCAGCAAATTGTTTACAAATGCAAGGGACCCATGGAGGACTCCACCTCTCAAGAGTATCTCCCTAAAACAATACTTGTTTGAAATAATTAATACACCATCCTACAACATGACTCTATAAAAACTCAAATAAAAGCCAACTCCCCCTCCTTTCTAGAGGATAATCTCCTTACATTTAGACATATAAACTCCTCTATTAGACCACAGATTATCAAAATTGAACACTCCTTTTAAATGTATTCTTCTAAAAATGACTTCATCTACTTCAGCTACTTTGATGACAGTCAAGGAAAATGAGATATTGCAAATCATTTTGTGTACATGAAGTTATAACTGTCATATCCTGTTTCTTGATAACAGTGCAAAGATGTACACATAGCTGTACTAAATAAGACTGTACATTTTATTGGAAAAAAATATTATAGTATGCCTCCTAATTTAAATCCAGGACTAGCAGTCATACTTTTTTGGAACATTAGAGGTACTTACGTAATCAATGGAGTCACCACAATTTATTTCATATCCCTTTCATAACCCATTCCTTCTACTAGTTAATGTTTATAAATCGAATCTTTTTTCTGTTAACTGAGTACTCAAATGAGCTTTCAACAAGCACATCAAAATGGATCCAGATGGGTACAGGACTCTATTAAGGCAAATAACTACATACATTTAAAAATTTTATTATCAATTGCCATCATCAAACATGGGCTAATAGAATAAATAACCTGTTCTAGTTAACACCGAATTAGGAGTTATTCAACAATCTCATGGTAGGGATGCTGCATAGTCGTCATGTACATTGATACAATCAAAAACTGAATCTAGAAAAAAATTATGTTGAACTTGATCAAAAACAACCCTAGGTTAAACACAACTGACAATCTGAACAAAAAGAGGAATCAACAACTAATTCTAAAAACTCCAAGACCACAAAATATATCACTAGCAGTGAAAACTTATCAGACTCCTCTACCCTCAAGTACAATCTAGAATTAAGAATAGTTCATTATCTGTAGCCAGAGTCATTATTTACAAGATTTTATGTACTTCCTCAGGGAGACTTATCAAGAGGCTTCAGGGAAAATTGTGATTCTGTTAAAATACTATGCAATTTTGTAGTTATGTCGGTGAAGTTTCTTGAGGAGAGACCAGTGCTTTCATCTTCTTCTTCTTTTTTTTTTTTTTTGAGACACAGTTTCACTCTGTCGCCCAGGGTGGAGTGCAGTGGTGGGGTCTTGGCTTGCTGCAACCTCCACTTCCTGGTGTCAAGAGATTCCTATGCCTCAGTCTTCCAAGTAGCTGGGATTATAGGCACCTGCCACCACACCAGGCTAATTTTGTATTTTTAGTAGAGACAGGGTATCTCCATGTTGGTCATGCTGGTCTCGAACTCCTGACCCCAAGTGATCCGCCTATCTTGGCCTCTCAAAGTGCTAGGATTACAGGTGTGAGCCACCAGGCCTGGCCTGCTTTCATATTTGCAGGAGTTCAGTCAGGGTGGTGGGAAAAAATGTAGAGGGATGAAAACCTTGGAAGGCCAGAAGGTTTTACATTTGAAAGCAGCCAAATTCTCTTACACAATGCCTGAAAGCTTAGATTAGATAACAAGGGATGTCAAGAAACTGATCTAGGTAAGTTACTTAGCTCGGAACCTGGCCTTTTATCATTCGTAGGACTGCTCTCTCCGGATGGGAACCATGTTAATTATCCACAACTGCATAGACTCAAAGCCTTTGTCATTAAATCTATACTGAATAAATGACCACAGCACCAGCTAGTTGGGCTGTGGCTGCTAACTCTACAGCACCCTCCTCAGTGTCTGTGGGTGGCTCAGCCCCGTAGCTCGCTCTTTCACTGGATACCTGTGTTTGAGTGCATTTGTTCATCTGTCGCTGGGTCAGGGTCTGTGGGTCAGACCTGGCACATATTCAGGGGTCTTGGACTCAAAAAACATTAAGAATCCTCTATTTTAAAATCTGAGCATCTTTTTCCAGAGTCCAAATATATCGCATTATCTGCCAACTGGAGTATAAAATACAAAAAAACTTCCCAGATAAAAATTATAAACAAAGAGAAAAACCTGATTTTTGGTTATTTTTAACAGCTATTATCAGGTATAAACGGTCCCTAAAAAACGAACATTAAGCAAAATAGCTTATAACAGCTCAAAACAGATTAAAATTAGTAGTAAAATTTCTAACTGGCATAACATTTTAATTTTTTTTTTTTTCAATTTTAAGTTCTGGGATACATGTGCAGAACGTGTAGATTTGTTACATAGGTATACATATGCCATGGTGGTTTGCTGCACCTATCAACCTGTCATCTAGGTTTTAAGTCCCGCATGCATTAGGTATTTATCCTAATGCTCTCCCTCCCCTTGTCCCCCACCCCCCGACAGGCCCCGGTGTGTGATGTTTCCCTCCCTGTGGCCATGTGTTCTCACTGTTCAACTCCCAATTATGAGTGAGAACATATGGTGTTTGGTTTTCTGTTCCTGTGTTAGTTTGCTGAGAATGATGGTTTCCAGCTTCATCCATGTCCCTGCAAGTGACATGAATTCATTCTTTTTTATGGCTGCATAGTATTCCATGGTGTTTATGTGCATGGGTATGGACATATACCCAGTCTATCACTGATGGGTATTTGGGTTGGTTCCAAGTCTTTGCTATCGTAAATAGTGCTGCAATAAACATATGTGTGCATTTGTCTTTATAGCAGAATGATTTTTAATACTTTGGGTACATACCCAGTAATGGGATTGCTGGGTCAATTGGTATTTCTGGTTCTAGATCCTTAAGGAATCACCACACTGTCTTCCACAATGGTTGAACTAACTTACACTCCCACCAACAGTGTAAAAGCGTTCTTCTTTCTCCACAGCCTCACCAGCATCTGTTGTTTCCTGACTTTTTAACTCGGCTAGGTAGGTATTAGTCTCAATTTTGAAATGAGTAAAATGGAGCTCAGAAAAACTGAGCTACATTCCCAAAGCTATGGTGCTGTTAATATTCTGGACTATGTGGCTCCCAAAGAGGGTTGCTGCACCACACAATTCCAGAGCTAACTGTGGTGTGATGCCCGGACCTGACAGATGTGCTCTTCTGATCATACCTCAGTGCCATTTACTGTCTGTCCATTTTTTTCTTTAAATATTAGCATATATTTAACATTTGTTTCAGAGATACAGAATAACCAACAAATAAATTTGGGAAACTCTTTCTTTACATACTAACAAAAAATCTTCCATTAATAATACTTAACTATAACAGCAACTATTACATTCTGAAACAAGCATTAAAGAGGGACTCAACCTAAATAAAAATCAATGCTATCATATATTATAAGTGATATCTTGTTATATTTAAAATACATAATATACCTTTCAATTTGTGGAGGCTGCTTCTTGGACTGAACTGCTTTCAGGAATTCAGTAAAATATTCTGGCTTTACAATTGGACGTCCACAAATAAGTGCACATATAGTCTAAAATGAAGAAAACATGTGAATATATATATATTCATATGCTACCATTTTTTTAAGGAAAAGTTTTAAATTATAAACTACAAAGAGGCTGTTTACATTCATAAAAAATAATGTTTTCCCTTTCATCTCTCTAAATTTATAAAGAAGCCACAATCTATAAAACAGAAGTCAGTCTTTGGTCACTGCATCATTTTAGAACATAAATCACAATATAATCACTCAATTATAAGAAGTCACCAATTATAATACTAATTTTTAAAACTGCTTTTTTGGAAGGGGTGCAACAATATAAAATAAAAGTCAATTTTAAAATGCATTCCACTTTCAAAGACATTAAAGTGTTAAAAATTATTTAAGAATTGAGAAAATGTAACATCTGCTGCAGGGAAGACAGTATTAGGAGATGAACATGAGATATTTTTAGACTAACTGTCTTTCAGAAAAATTGTACTATGCAGTAAAGCCTTTCTGAGAAAGTAAATAAAGAAATCACTTTTGGTAAAAGCACAAAATAAGTATATATAAAGTGGAAAAAAAGAAATTTAAACTCACATGTGAATTAAGCTGTAAGTCTCAAATATGATACATCCAAAAAACATGACAAACATTAGAAAATACTACAGTGGGTAATGAAAATAAAATTCAGAATAATATAAATATGCTTTTTTATTTTTGAGACAGGGTCTCGCTCTGTTGTCCAGGCTAGAGTGCCGTGGCGCGATCCTGGTTCACTGCAGCCTCAACCTCCTGGGCTCAAGCAATCCTCCTGCCTCAGCCTTCTGAGCAGCTGGGACTATAGGCACATGCCACCATACCTAGCTAATTTTAAAAATTTTTTGTAGAGAGGGAGTCTCACTATGTTGCCCAGGCTGGTCTCAAATTCCTGGGCTCAAGCAGTCCTCCCACCTCGGCCTCCCAAAGTGCTGGGATTACAGATGCAAGCCACAACACCCAGCCATGAATATGCTTTTAATAACACAGGGTACTTCATTGTCTAAATAGGGGCAAGCAGATTTAGAGTGTCTCTCAAGTATGGAACCTGAAAGACATCACCTTCCAAAGTGAAAGAAAGAAACTAGCATGAACCAGTAATGTGCAAATCAACACTGTACTGAGTAATCTCTAATACACGTGACTTGGGAAATTAATTAGTCCATGCCTCAGAAAACAAAAGTTGAACTGAAAGGTTTTTTTGTTCTTGTTGTTGTTCTTGTTGTTTTTTTTTAAGTAGCTAATAGCAAGAAAAAAATGGTCTTTGACTTCCTTTTTGGCTCTAACATTCAATGACTTGAAAAATATAAGCTAATTGTACTTTCAGAAAACTTACCAAAAAAATAATATAACAACAAGGTTTTCTATTTTGGCATATGAATGATCAGGAATTTTTTTTTAACAAATTAATCTGTAAACCATGTTGGTGTGTGTAATAAAGCAATTCACAAGGTGGTCATCAGCATCCCACCCACTGGAAGTGCCAGGTCTGTCACAGACGTAGTAAAATATCTCTCAAGACAATCTAACTACCTTTGATCTTATTTCACACCAACCAAGCAAGTGTATGATTACCTACTCTATTTCTTAAGTAATATCTTAAAGAGGACTGTGCTAGGGCCCACACTTAAATATTTTGGTAAAGGTGCAACCCTTCTGAAAACCATAAATGGACACTTTGATTTGTAAATCTACTATTTGTGAGTTTATATGCATATACTAGTACTCTGGAGGCTAATCACACTGCTGAATTTATAAAATCAACTTCATAAACTTGCAAAAATAAAAAAACCCTTGATTACAGACAACCCCACCAAAGCACAAGTTGAGTTCCAGCTGAGCAGCAAGCCTTTCTCCATGATAACTCTTTAGCTATAAAATATAATTCTAGTTTAATTATATTAAATACTAAAGGATTTTTAATAAAGGAATCTAAGTATTTGTGGTTTTTTACTATAGATATTAATCTAAAAGAATCCCACAAACCTATAGTCAACCTGTTAAAAAGGAGATGAATCACCTGGAGACTGGAGGAAGACAACTTGATGGAAGAGACATGAGATGCTAACTTTGAAGACTGGCAGTTAATCTCTAGTTGCGTTGCTTTAAGACTGAAAACACAAACTAGGCACTGTCATAACCTTCTTGGTGGAAGGACACCAGAATCACTTTTTAAAATGCTAAACAAAATGTGAAATATAATTTTAGTTGCTTTGGCTTGTCTCAGATAATAAACAGGTTATCTGAAAAGCCACTCAAGCCTAAACGGTATACAAAGGGACGGAGTGGGTATATATACATCTACAACTAACAGTTCTGATAGTCTTAAAGTAATTTAAAAAAAAATTCTGTGTATAGTGGGTAAGCTTAAATTCAAAGAACTTATTTTAACATAAGAACAAGATATTCAACCTACTTTAATGGTAACTTTCACTGATACCATGACAAGGTGAGTGCATTCTTCTGTCCAATTGTTTACAGTAAATCCTCCAAGTTGCAATATAGCTTGATTTAAAGCAGTTTTCCCAGACACATCTAAACAAGAAGAGCATGCAACCAAAGGCTCATACTCTACTCTGTAAATGAGAATAAGTTAAATAAAGTTATAGTATCATAGTTGCAGAGATGGCAACTTTTAGCACTTTAAAACTTTAAGCTCACATCATATACTGTTATCGTAACTTTTATTTATTGTTACCCTTTGTAACCTATGAAATTATCAATTCCTCATCATTATTAAGCTTTGTAACCTAGAAAATTATCAATTCCTAAGTCCTGAGTCCAAATGAAGAAAAAACAATGACCAAAAGTTAACATTATACTTTCACCAATGAGGAATCGAAGAAATATAATTTCCCATGAAGTCCCTCAGGGCCCACTCAAACTCCCATCACCATGACGTACAAAACGCACTAACCACCCCCGGCACAGAGTCCAATACTGTGCTAAGTAGGAACTAAATTACACTGTTTTAAATTCATTAATCAGAAATATCATTTTCCTTTAGGATTTGGCTGAAATAAAGCTGTCCATTTTAATATCAATTTAAACATTTCTTACCTGAATTTACTTTCAAACACTCCAAAAGTAATACTATCCCCCGACTTCAAAGTTCGGGAAAAGCCATTCTGCATTTTTTCCTCATTAACAGAGGTACCATACTTAGAATTATCTTTTAATGTCAATACAGGGATTTCATCTGTTTGACTCTGAAAAGTTAGAAAATAATTTAAAGTCTTTTACCACTCAGTACATTCACTTCTGAGAGAAAAAGGTTTTAAAAGAAAAAACAATAGGCAGGTGGCAAACCTCCCAACACAGCAGAAAATTACTGCTTTCGTTGCCTTGAGAGGAAGATCCCTCAACTAACAATTCATATTTCCCCTTAGGGAAGTTTCTTAACCCAGGATTACCCCTCCCAGAACACACATTTTTTTACTTGTGTACATCAGTGGGGATTTTCCTGACCCCTCACACACATTCGAGAATTTTTTGCTTTGGTGCAGTCTGTTTCATTAAAAACATGACAATTTCATTCTTAGATCTTTTTTTGTTTGTTTTACAGTATCAAAACCACATTGCAAAAATTAGTCCCATGAGAATATGAGGTTATAGGCTAGTGTTTCTGACTTACAGTAACAATTTTACTTTTTCTGCAGAAATTTCAATGTTTTTCTATACCTAAAAGAATAGAAACAAAACCTAAATAAAACTAACAAATTCAGATCGCATATATGCAATCTTTGATTAAAATAATGGCTTATCTTTCTTATTCCACCAGCGTTATCATGAGTACAGATATTTATGTACTTTTTTAGCCCTTTTATCACCCACGCTTGTGATCAAAACAAACTCAAAGCCATTTAAACGAGCTGTGGGCCTAAGTAAGCATTTCCCTAATAAAACAAATGAATTCCCATTGCAAAAACTTGTGTTATATGAGAAATGCCCGTGTCCACACAGCTACATAACCTCTTTAAGAGCCAGAGCCATGAAGAACTGTTCATTGTTCTATTATCAGGGTTGGCATAGTTACTGACACATAAAAACACATTACTGCTAACGGCAAAAACAGCAATTACTTTTGCACCAAACTAATAGTAAACAATATTTAGTAAGCAAATAAAAATAAATATATCCTACTTCCTCTGAGATTCTAACTAACTAAAACAAAGAGTAAATTACTGAAATAGAAACTTCAAATCTCAAAATAAACAAATATCACTGGTACCACTGCCAAAATATAAGTATTTAATTTTGTTAACATTAAAAAAGTCTACACAGCTCTATAAAATGACAAGTCCTGTGATCTCTCTCTCACATACACACCAAGAGAATATTTTGTGCAACCCCCTTACTGGAAACTAGTGAAACAAAATTAGTAACATACCAGGTTGGTTACCGAAAAGTTAGCAGTTAACACAGCATGATTTCGGCTGATTGACTGATCATTTTCAATTAGAATGGCACAGTTTTTCCTTCCAACAACGTACTCAACGCCAGTCAAAAGTCTGTATGGCTCTCCTGAGACAAATTTTTTTTAGAAAAAGATAAGTTGATAGACACATACACATGTACACGAACACACACATACATGTAAGTATATATGATATAGGTATGACAAATATTAAATAAAACATCTTTATTTTGTTATTCAAATGTTACTCAACTTTATATATGTCAAACTTGTGTTTTCAGTAAAGCCTCACTGAAGGATACCAAAGGTTATCTAACTATGGTGTTTCAGAAGTAACAACAACAACATTTAAAACACAATAAAAAAGAGAGAAGAAAAGGTTATCTAGATAGAAGGCTACATCATTTTTCTAAAGGGAAAGCAATGCTGAAAGAAGTCAATGTTCCCTCAAATTAACTTAAAAACTTAATGTATTACCTAGCAACAATCACAATATTATGTTTGGAACTTGATAAACAAAAATATCTGGAAACTATAAAAAAGATACTCAAGCCTGTAATCCCAGCTACTTGGGAGGCTGAAGCAGGACAATTGCTTGAACCCAGGAGATGGAGGTGCCACTGCACTCCAGCCTCGGTGCCAGAGTGAGACTCCGTCTCAAAAAAACAAAACAAAACAAAGATAGTCAAGAAAAATGTGAATAATATTATAGGAGCTTGCCCTACCAGATGGCAAAACATGTCATAAAACTAAAAGTATGGTATTGGACCAGGAGTGAACACCACAGACCAACGCAACAAAGTCCAGACTAAGATGCACGTGTACATTTTTTGCAATTTTGTTTTTATCTTAAGGAGAGCATCTCCAATCAGTGGGAAACGGTTATCAGTTTCTTTTAAAATTGCTGTAAATCATAAGTTGTTGGAATAACAGTATATATACTGGAGACATGCGGAGTTCCGTCTGGGAGCGTGATTTCGTTACCCAAGTGGCAGAGAGATTAGGGCAGATAAAGAGTAAGGAGTCCAGGAGAGCCAGGTCTCCAGGGACGCCTTGACCTGTGAGTCTTCACAGTATATTTATTTAGTTTGGCCGTCTCCACACTCTCTTACCCTGCCAGTCCATTTAGTCTCTACATAGATCTTTGCTAATCATCATGTAAACTTCCCGTGGACAAGACCCTTCACACCCACCACAGGCAACCAATTAACATGTGATCACATTTCACACAGCTGGAAATGAAGGGGAAAAAATCGACTTTTCCCGTTGTTCTGATGACATTGTGGAAAAGGAGTCTGAAACAAAACTGAAAGTAAGCCTTCTCGTGGTAGTCATTTCCCCAAACTGTCCGGTAGTTCTTCACAAAAGTCATGTGTGGCCCCCGTGTGGTCCGCCCACGCTAACTTCCTGCCGGGGGTTCCCACTAGGCGCCGGCTGCCGCTCACCCGCAGGCCATCCAGCCCGGGCGCTGCAACCTTGCCGCGGTGAGGCTGGGAGGAAGGGGGAGTCGGGGGAGAGGCGCGGGGGACGGCCACCAGGGGGCGCAGCAATCACCCCACCGCCCGCGCTGCATTCCGGCTCACAGCCGCCGCGCCACCGGGAAAACGCGCTTGCCATACAGTGAACTCGCCGCTTCTGCGACCGCTTCCGCAGCCTCCCCGAGCGGGAACGGACGCGACGCAGGAATCATCACCCGCAGGCCCTCCCCCGAGGCAGTCGCTACCGGGAAAATGGACCCCGAGGCTTCCCTTCCGCCCTTACCTCCTGCCGGACCCGCGACGGGCAGCAGTTTCCACATGGGTCCGGCTCCTCAGGGCTGAGGCCGGCGTGCAACCGCGTAACCGGGGTGGTAGACGAGCGCGGATACGGCGCCTGCGGTCGGCACGGGCTCCGGGACGTGCGCGCTCCCGGGAGCCACGCAGGCTGCCTTGGATGAGGCGGGAGTGCGACTTGGGCGCTTGGCCGCCACCTGGTGGTTGGAAAAGGAACAGCACAATCGGTATTAAAATGTGCTGCGTTAAAAGGGCACGTTTCTAAGGTGTCGCCGAATATAAGGTTACTACCTTTCCTGATTATGAACGAAAAGAATTTAAAAAACTAACTCCAAAGCAACATAAGGAACGTTTTTAATTAAATGCATTAAAATACCAGTTATGTAGTTTCGTGCGTTTGCAATTTCTTAAATTGCAGGTGTTCTTTTGGATTCTAGGGATGGTGATAATAATGACGAAGATAAGGATTTCACCTCAAAGTAAACTCATTATTTTTACTCTTTTCTAAGTTCAAATCAACTTGTCCTAACATCTTTATTTCATAATGCCACCGTTTCATCTAATCACATGCTAACTACTGGGCAGTCTCCTGTATTTAATACCCTTCCTTTCCATTTCCACTTGTCTCAAGCTGGTTCAAGCTCTCCTCCTAATTCCAGTAGCTTCCTAACCCATCACCACCCACGTCCCCCATAATGTAGGCTACATCCTGCGCACTACCAAATAAACATCTGAGAGCACACTCCTGATCACATACATTTTGGCTTTCAAAAGCATTCTGTAATGGGGGGAAATGTCACTTTCAAAAGGCTCGTTTAGGCTCAGCACCGTGGCTCATGCCTTTAATCCCAGCAGTCTGGGAGGCCAAGATGAGAGGATCACTTGAGGCCAGGACTTTAAGATCAGCATGGGCAACTTGGCAAGACCCTGTCTTTATAAACAAGTTTAAAATTAGCAGGGCATGGTGGCATGCTCCTGTATTCCCAGCTACTCAGGAGGCTGAGGCAGAAGGATCACTTGAGCCCAGGAGTTCAATGCTGCAGTGAGCCATGATCATGTGCCACTGCACTCCAGCCTGGGCAATAGAGCAAGATCCTGTCCAAAAAAAAAAAAAGCTGGTTTACCAATCTCTTTATCATCATAAATGCAAAATCCTAAACACAGTGTTAGCAAATTGAATCAAGTAGTATTAGAATAATCATAACTAAGAGGGATTTATCCAGAAACAAAAGGATGGGTTAACATTGGGGAAAAAAAATAAATGTAATTCATCAGAATAATTTTTAAATAAGAGAAAAATCATGATTATCTTGATAGTTGCAAAGAAATTGATAAAATTTAACACCCATTTATGATAAAAACCTCTCTGCAAAGTAGGAATAGAGAAAACATCCATGATCTGATAAAGGACATTTACAAAAAAAACTACAGCTTACGTTATACTTAAGGTAAATTATTGAACATTTCCCCAAGACATCAGTAATGAAACAAGGACGTACATGCTCTTACCACTTATTTTCAACATGGCTTTAGATGCTCTAGCCAATGCAATAAAGGAGAAAAAGTAACAAAAGACATTAAGTTTGGAAAGGAAAAAATAACAGTCATTATTCACAAATTACATGATTGCCTATATTGAAAATCAAAAAGACTGTTGGCAAACTATTTTAATTAATAAATCAACTTAATAAGGTTCTAGATATAATATCTAGATACAAAATTTAATTGTATACTTATATTCCAGAAAATAAATAGAAAATTACATGTATAATTATAATGGCACCAAAATAATCAAGTACTTGGTATTACATCGATCAAAATATGTAATACAAAATATTATTGACAACATAACATTATTGATGGAAAGTTTTGTTTTTTTTTTTTTGAGACGGAGTCTCGCTCTGTCCCCCAGGCTGGAGTGCGGTGGCGCGATCTCCGCTCACTGCAAGCTCCGCCTCCCGGGTTCACGCCAGTCTCCTGCCTCAGCCTCCTGAGTAGCTGGGACTACAGGCGCCTGCCACCGCGCCCGGCTAATTTTTTGTATTTTTAGTAAAGACGGGGTTTCACTGTGGTCTCTATCTCCTGACCTTGTGATCCGCCCACCTCGGCCTCCCAAAGTGCTGGGATTACAGGCGTGAGCCACCGCGCCTGGCCGATGGAAAGTTTTTAAAGTCCTAAATAAATGCAAGGATAATGGATCATGTTCACAGATTGTTAAGATGTCATTTCCTCCAAAATTGATCTATAGATTCAATATAACTTCAGTAATGTCTCAAATGCTTTTTTTGAATAGAAATGGATAAGCAGATTCTAAAATTTATATGGAAATGCAAATGCCTAGAATAGCCAAGGCAATTTTGAAGAACAAAGCTGGAGTATTTAAATTATGAAATACTGAGATCTATTATAAAGTTACAGTTATTAAGTTAGTGTTTGCTTGGTACAAGGATAGAAAACAGGCAAATGAGTCAGAATAGAGGGCCCTAAGAGAAGTGGACACATAAGGTAATTTGATTTTTCAAAGATGATTACAGGGCAGCAAAGGAAAGTCTCATGTGCCCCCACCCCACCCCACAAATTAATGATCCCGTTTATTAACATGACACAAGAAATGTGTTCACATAACACAAGAAATGAAGACTGATCCCCCTAATTCATTTAGATGAATTAGACTTCATCTAAATTCCAGATGAATCATAATTTAAATATGAAAGTAAAACAATAAATATTGGTGGAAGAAAACATGATTTCAAAGTAGGTAGATCTTTCTTAAGTAGGACACACAAAAGTATGCCCTGCATCATCGAATCCCTAAATGTCACTGATTTAGTGAAGCATCAGCATTTTGCAGGAATTTTCTTCCACACTCTGAAGTATGCGTATCTCACCAACGCCTCCAACCTGTTTGCCAAATCCTTGCTCATCCAACCTGGCGAGCATCATACCATCACTGTAGTAGAACAGTGGGATGTTCTGTAGCATGTCCAGACACTTCAGGTCTCTTGGGACTACATTATGCTAGAGGTTAAGGAGATACAACTTAGCTCTGGGTCAACTTTGCAAATATTTTCTAGTATTTGTTCTAATTAAATATGAGCACTTTTGGATTCTACTTTCTGATAAGGTTGGGGAAACACATGTCATCATACCAAACACCCCAAACCTGTTGCCTAGGGTCATGTTGCTCTGCTCTTGTAAAGATTTCACATCTGATACGGCAGCTCTAATTGGGGTTATTACTTTGTTGATTGCAGTAATCAGCTGTTTATTCTCCAGGAACTGTCAGGCTTTTGTAAGTCAAGTATGGTGAATTAAATGGAGATATAAAAGGAACCAAAAAGAAAGCACTAATATCTATCATTCCTCTATATTGTTTTTGCTCACTGTCGTGGCTGTGCAATTTCAGAGGCTGCTCCCTGTTGGCCTTGCCCACGTTGATAGCTCTTACCCTATAGGTCAAGGAGCTGATGTGAGTATTGTAAGAACTACCAAGGATGTTCATTTCGATTATATATTTGGGAACTAGGGAAATGACCACCACGTAGGTCTGTGTGTTCAGTGGACCCACTGTGTGCCAGACCTGGACAAGGACTCCCTTAACTCTCTGGCTTCTGAATACCTCTGCTTTAACCAGGAGCCATACTATTTTGGGTTCATGTGTATCAATAATGATCATGTCCCACAGCCCTCCAAGTATGTGGGCATTCTCTTTTCCTCAGTGTATGATTTTCCAAGTGAATGGCTATAGGTCCCTTAAGGGAAAGACTGAGAGTAGGATGGGGTGCGGGGAGGTTATTACCATATATTCTTGCTATGGGATTGCAAGATCCTTCTTCCTGGCAGTCCTGCCTCTCCACCAGTCAGTGGGTTCTGGATTGGTAAAGTGGCTCAGGTCATGATATTCAGAAAGAGACCGTGACTTTCTCTCCTTGGTCAGGATCATTTCGTGTAACTATCCACCCTCTAGACCTTCTTTTTCTATTACCTACTGCAGGTATGACCATGTCAGTTGCCCATATTCATTAAGGACACTGTCACGTATGTGAGAGATTTTACTCCATCTCAACTCTTGCCATCACTCTCAACTATGCTGAAAACTCACTCTAGGCTCACCATTCTTCAACTATCTCAGCTTCTGTGACTTTCACCTCTACTCCACACATACCACCCTCTCGGTTGGCCACACTTTCGAACTTCACATCATCAGAACCTTCTTCACCCTTATTCTCCTGCTTTCTAACTGGAGCTGCCTGGCCTTCCCACTTCTTTGTATGTTCACTTCCATTGCCCCTCTTTTTAACCTCACCCAGGACTCCAGCCTCATGATCCTTCCACTTTACCCAGGTGTCAGTCTCCTTCCATCCTCCTTCATATCCGGGCTGGACATCAGGATCGATAGCTCAGTAACTTTGCTGTCAGTCAGCTTCTCAGTACTGAGCTGTAGCTCTCAGAAGTACTTTTACTCTGAGATCTCTCAGCTCCATAGCTCACTTGTCTGGAAGCCCTAACAAACTCAGAACTATGAGTCAATCCCACAACAAATTTCTCTACTGAGACACCTGAGTAAAATCTGTCCATCTTCAAAAATACGGAGCCAATGCCAATCCATAAACTCTTATATCAGTTGAACTACAGAATATAATTGATCAGTGTCTTTTCCTGCTTTTAAGAAAATCTATTCTCAATAACTCTGAAGAGCTATTTGACACATTTGCTGAACTCCTCAGATCTGATCATCTCCTGCTTTCCTTCCAAGAAAATGGTATCGTATCTTACTAGAAATTGATGCAAGAACTTCCTTACAATTTCTGACCTTACACTGCTGCTGTTCGTATCACAAGACAATCCTCTTGTCTTTTAAAATCTGTACCCATGCCTTATCCTTGCCTTCTTATTTCTGGTTTAATATGATTTTACTATTCAGTTCAGGATCAATTTCTCCATGTGCTTACACCCATCTCCTCTCATTTACCCAGGGTTTTGCTTTATCAGTTATCCCTTTCTCCTACTTGTTTTCAGTTTCTCCCTTTGGTTCCTTTATCTTACCCTAAAAATATTTGCCTTGTCCTCTCCCCCAAAATTCCATTAACCCTGCCATTAATTTCCAACTAATGTTCAGCTAAAATATAAGTTCAATAGT